ATATAAGTGTAAGCAATTATTATTATTATTATTATTATTATTATTATTATTATTATTATTATTATTATTATTATTAAAGATTCGACCCGTCAGTCGAGCCGTGTTCAAAAATGCTTGAATCTGCAACTTTACGAACAACAAGATCACTGTTGCACTTTTTATGAATGTCATTATCCGTGTGTTTGTATTTACGGGGGTCTTATGCGCAAACATGAAGCGACGAGCTCACGTTTGCTTGTCCTGCTCCATGAAGTTGCTCACCCGCCCGTCGAACAGCACAAACGACGAAACTCCCCGCAATCGTTAGTGCTGCGTTTATGCCGGTTTGTGTCACTGTGGTAGCGTTTGTGCTGCTTTCATTTCCGAGTTATAGCGCCTTGTATTTCGGGTAATCAAGTGACTATCAAGTGACTATCTAAAGGAAGTTTACAGATACCACCAAACTCGGTACTTGAACTCCTGATTGTGATTAAAACAATGGGGGTAATTTGTTTTCTGTGTCTGTCTGCTCGGGTGGGGTGGATGTTTCAATATATTTCAATATAGCGCCTTCTTTTCCTGGCTGTGACGTCACTCTGTGACGTACTAAACAGCAAAGTCACGACTACTAGATCTTTCAGCCGTGATCTTTTGATCAGTTGACCCCAGACTTTGCAGCCTTTACACGAATAAACAGTCTTACATGGAGGAAGAAGTTACTATGTTAGTTCATTGGGTTAGGTGTTTTCTTTTAATTTTTAACCATGTTCTCGAAAATGTATTGCTTGTGTACTCCTTTAATTGGTGAAGAGACACCAGTTTCCAAATTACCGCTGGTACAACACGAGAGCCCATGTTCACATTTTTAGGTATTAGTTTCAAGATCGATATAATTTAACAATAAAAAACAAAATTGAAAGCGCGAGCATAATAATACAATGATCATAGGCTTTACATTTCTATTCATTTTTGAAGTACAAAGCAGAAGGTGTTTCCCCTACCTTAAATACACGATCAAATTGTTCAAATACCATGTGTTCATTACAGAAAGCAGCGGAGACAGTTATATTGCAAATAAAAAATATATTTGTTTCGAAGAGTACGGGATATTTTGAGTCAATAAAGACGTTAAAAAACAAGCCGATGTAGTTACTTTGCAAATAAGTAAAGCGTTTTAAAAATAGATTCTCATTGACAGTAAACAAGCCGATCCACCTGGCGCTGCTTCCTTGAACAGCTCTCAGACCCGTGATTGGCTAAACCCCCGAACAGCTCGGGCCGCGATTGGGTGAAGAGTGAGAATCGACACTCTGATTGGGCAAAGCGCCACAGCGGACGTTCTGTGTGTACCGTGTGTGCTGGATGAACACGCTGGATATACAGTTACACATCCATTGGTTTCCAGCTACTGATCAATCTAAGAGAAGTCGCACTGAGGTTAAAACTGAATAGCAGACAAAGAATGTCACGGCATCCACAGCGCGTTCACGACTCCGATAGCACGATCACATCGCGGTACCAATTGCGACTGGCGCATCACTCTCATGGCGCGACTGTTGCGACATTTAGTCCATATATCTTGATAGGACATACCCCGACAAAACGCCCCTGCCCCCATGTCGCGACATGGAGCCCACATATCGCGATATGGCGTACCCCGACAAAACGCCCACCCCCATGTCGTGACATGAAGCCTGTATATCGCGATATGACATACCACGGCAAAATTCCCCCCGCCCTATGTCGCGACATAAAAGGACCTATATCGCGACATGTCAAAACTGGCCACGCCCATGTCGCGACATGAAACCCGTATATCGCGATATGACATACCCCGGCAAAGTGCCCCCGCTCTATGTCGCGACATGAAACCCGTATATCGCGATATGACATACCCCGACAAAATGCCCCGCCCCCATGTCACGACATGGAGCCCATATGTTGCGATAGGACATACCCTGACAGGATATGCTGACCTCATGTCGAGACAAAAAATCCATATATCGGGACACGTCCTATCTGGGTGTATCATGTCCTGATATGAGACCTATGTTGCGACAGCAGTGCCAGGGTGGCATGGAACAAGGCGCCACTCGTAATATACACTGCCGCGATATACATGGGGTCCCTACCATGACATGCTGCGGAGGTCTTGTCGCGATGGTTTCCCGCAGTTACGCATTTGGCAACAGCGTGTCACGGTAGGGACAGAAAAGGAAAACGTGCCTTTTAAAATAAAAACCATAGATCTTACAATCAGTGATTTTACATACATTACAACCACAGGTTTATGTCATAGGTGGTTAACTTGTTGGCATGCGTCATGTCTTAGTATTATTCACATCTAAGGAGGCTCATATGTTTATGGATATTGGTTGTCTTTAAAATGTTAAGTGTACGGGCTGAACTGTGACAGGGCGTTTGAACTCAGCAGACGGGGTCACTGGAGGTCAAAGTCATCGTGCATGGTCACGTGATTACTGGAAAAACAAGGCTCTATATCTCGGAAACGAAAGCAGCACAAACTTTACTTTTAACTGCACAAACCGGCACAAACGTAGCACTAATGAATGAGGTGGGTTTAATTGTTTGTGCTGTCTGTAGGGGGGCCAGCTTCACGGAGCTTTTACCTTACCTTTAAATATTAAGCGGACATCAGCATAACATAGCAGAAGAACGTGCACGCACGTTTTGGTTTTAGAGGCTAGAGTTAATGCATCGCCCCAAGGGTAGTATCAAGTGAGGCGCCATGAGAATAAACAACTGCGAAAGTATTAAAATATTAATTTGAATCGTGTTTGATCCTTCATTATGCTTTTAAACTTGTATGAAACCCACGAAATTAGTATGATATTTTCGACGCCAAAAGACACCTAATTTGGAAATTCCACAGACTTAACACGGAATTGTTATAGTCGCATTACAGTGCTAACAAAATCGTCGTACCTTGAATTGCAAGAATGGTCTGCTAATAAAAGCGTCATATACATACGCGTGCACTAGGAAGCTCGATACATGCTCTGGGAAGCAGCTGGGAAGTTACTTTTAACGGCACAAACCGGCACAAACGTAGCACTAACGAATGAGGCGGGTTTCATCGTTTGTGCTGTCTGAGAGGGTGCAGCTTTGCAGAGCTTTTCCCAGGAGGTCTCTTATGCAGGTAGTGACCAGTCTCACACCTGCTTAGTTTCAGTGGGTTGCCACTTAATAATAATCATTGCTTACACTGATGATATAGCGCTTTTCTGGACACTCCACTCAAAGCGCTTTACAGGTAATGGGGACTTCCCTCCACCACCACCAGTGTGCAGCCCCACTGGGATGAAGCCAATTCATAGGGACATTACACGTCCCCTGGTGCGCGTGTTTATTTAAGGAGACAATGAGAAACTGATCACTTCAGATTTTTTAAAAGCACACCGCTATGAAGTATCAAGACGTGCTCGTTAAAGCCTCTTGGTAAGAGCAAGCAATTGTTTGCTAGTGTTCGCTTTTTGAGACTCCACCCGCAACTCTTCTGATTAGGACATCAGACATGCTCACACAAACGCACAGAAGACACTGATATTAAAATGCAAAATCCAGTGCCGCCCCCCACCCGGGCAAACAGAGGAACACGATTGCAGAACTGTTACTCTCGCACCGGTAACAGACGCTTAAACTCGGCAGACGGGGTCACTGGAGGTCAAAGTCACCCTGCATGGTCACGTGATCACCGGGAACACAAGGCGCTATCTCGGGATCACCGCTATATCTCGGGAACGAAAGCAGCACAAACGCTACTTTCAACGACACAAACGTAGAACTAACGAAGACGGTGGGTTTAATCGATTGTGCTGTATGTGTGGGGGCCAACTTCACGGAGATCCCGGGAAAAACTAAGTTTATGCTAGAACAGGGGCAGTAGGGAGCCTCCATAGGCTGTATGGGTTCTAATGCCTCAGTATAGTGACTAGTGACTGGGACACTATACTGTAAAAAGGTGCCATTCTTCTATTGAGACGTAAAACTGAGTTCCTGACTCTCTTTGGTCATTAAAAATCCCCACAGTGTGTCTTGAAAAGAGTAGGGGTGATACCCCTGGTCAAATTTTCCATTGGCCTTTACCAGTCGTACCCTCCTAATAATCCCCATTATGGACTAGCTTCATAACTCTGTTCTCCTCTCCCACTGAAAACTGATGTGTGGTGAGCGTACCTGTGCATCATCTAGGTGGATGCTGCACATTGGTGGTGGATGGGAGCTCCCTTTATCTGTAAAGCACTTTGAGTGGAGTGTCCAGAAAAGTGCTACATAAATGTTAGGAACTATTATTATTATTATTATGTTGTTGTGCTCATTCATTAGTTTTCCAGCAATACCACCTTAAGAGATTACTGTTACTAGGTGGAACAAGTTACATAGCTGTTGCAAGGATGAAATTGAGGAAAAAGGGAGCTGCAAAGAGATGAATGCTGGGAAAAGATTGGGTCCCCGCTATATACATATATAGTGTTTCATTAATGAAGACTACTGATACAACAGGTTTTAACTGGAAGTGAACTGAATGGTGAGCACTGAGGCCAAGCATAGATTGTTGGTAGTATTGTAGTACAGTAAACCTCATGAGTTTTCTCAGCAATAAATGATTGCAAGCACTAAATGTTATGCTTTAGACTGCAAAATTCATTTGAACTCCCAAACCCTGCTGCAGTACTAGGTTTCTGTCCGGTATTGATTAAGGAGCTCCTCCACAAAGTTCTCCTAAAGAGTCTTCAGCTTATCTATTGCTGAGGCCATCTGGGTAAAGGCATCAGTATTTTTACTGGTGGTCACAGTGCCAGGATGGGGAGAGCACATGTGAACTCTGGCACAGCATACTAGTACCTCCCTGATATGCTGTCTGTTCTGTCAGAGTTGGGCTGAAGTCCTGCAAATCATTTAAGGTCATAATTACGACACAAACAATGGCAGTACCTCTTGCTTGGGACACTAAGGTTTTAAGAAGAATAAAATAGAACACTTGATATCAAAGAACTTTTTTAAACTGGTTTATTTTAGTTGTTAAATGATAAATACAATACCAGTTCATGGGATTTGTAGGAAAAGATAAATATACAAATGTTTTTATATATTAGTGCCTACATACATCTAACAAATATTTAGGGGAGGGAAGCATTCCTATTTTTACGAACACTCACAGAAGCATGTATGCTCCTTGAATTTAAACTATATTATATATAAATTTAAACTAAACGCTTATGTACAATATGCTTTCTGTGTAGGAATTAATGAGTATTCTCAAAATCGCCAGCACCCATAAAAAAAAGCGTATTACGAACCATCAATTAACATCCGGGTGATGGGTGAAAAATGGCAAGAGTTAGAAATCCTCCAATCAGAGCTCAGACATTCTCCAAGAAAAAAAAACTACTACCGGAAGTGGCTGTGCTTGTGTGAGAAGACGGTGTTGTGGTGTTTCTGTGAAAACAATAATAAAACTAAATCGTTCAAGGTAAGTTTTTTTTTTTAAAGAGTCTTATCTCTTTAAGCATAATGTTAGCGAATTGTGAGAACATGCATTAACTATTCCCCTTTCTGGTTATGCATAGTGTTTCACATAACATCATTTCCCTTTTGACCACGCCATGATCAGTGTGACCTAAGAATCCCGAAAGTCAGAAACGAGTAGCAGCATTGATTACTTTAAATATTCTGGATCATTGCAGTTTACAAAACGGTAAAAGGCGAATGGTGACTGTAGGCCTTAGTCTCAAACATACCTTCCCTGCGTCGAGTCAATCCTTTTGAAATAAATAATATCAAATCGTTCTTCTGCCTACCAAGGTAAACAGTAGACGAGGGATCGTCCACTGCCCAATGTAGTTATTACTTTCTTAAAATGTTAAATGGGGAAAAAAATACTTGTCACTTTAGAAATTGCAGTCGTGTTCTTTTAAGTAGCGGTGCAGCGAACGATCTGTGGCTTAGCCGTTTTTAAAGTAATTCTTAGAAAACCTGAGAGCAGCAACACAAACGCGGTTGAATCCCCGGGGTTCGTGACTTAGTATAACGGACCTGTAAAAGAAAAGGCGTATTTGATCCGACTGTTTTTTTTGTTTGTTTTTTGTTTTGTGAACGCACTCAACAATTTGCGAATTCAGGAATTCTGTAAATACTGTATACCACATTTGGTTTCATTGGGTATGAAATAGTAGAATAAGTGTTGCCAGATGTTATTCGTTTATCTTTGTAGTCGATGGAAACAAAGGAGTACCTGCAAGATGGGATAGTCTGACATCTGTTGTAACCTTGGGTTTTTGAGCGTGGCAGGGAGGCCTTGTTATGAATGGTTTGTAATAAAAATAATCACATTTTCTGCGTTAAGAAATCGATTTGCACGAGGGAAACATTAAGGTATTCATGGTTACCTAGATCAGTGGTTGTCATTCCTGGTCCTGGAAGATATCGCCTCTTCCTGGTGGCCAATTAATTATTAAGACTGCCAGTTAGCATGGGTTGGTCATCAGAAATTTGATCTTTTTTTCTTAATTCTACACCTGTCCTTGTTCAGTTTTGTGGAATGTCTGTAAACCAATTTGTTTTGGTTGGAGTGTTTGAGATTGTCAATGGACAATATGTCCAGTCAACCTGTTAAGAGGTGCTTAGACACAAAATGAAGCATTTGACAGGCAGGTTGAGTAAGGAATGGGTTCTGATTTTTAAATGTGTTTGTAAAAACACATAGAACAGGTTTTTGGGTAGCCAAAGACAGAAATGGTTTCAAAAGATCTAATCAATAAAGAAGTTCAAATGAAGAAATAAGTCTATTAATTAGTCTATTTAATCAAGAGTACAGTTGTAAGACCATGACAGACAGGGTTATTCTAGGATCAGAACTACTGTTTTAAAGCCAAAATTAGTTTACAGCCAGTTCAGTAACAATGTGGTCTTCTATCAAACAGTACTTAATTTATACAATATACAGTGTTGTGAAAAAGTAAGTACACCCCATGAAAAAGTGTGTGTTTTTCAACATATTTGCATGTATGGATATTTGATCTTCATTTCAACAATACTGATAGATAAAGGTGATCTAGTTTAACAAATAACAATGAAAATTATTATTTGCAATCATTTATTCAACAAAAAAAGGCAGAAGTGCAATTGTCTGCTGTGGAAAAAATAAGTACAGGCCCTGGCTTCAATAGCTGGTGTTGCCCCCTTTGTCAGAAATCACTTCTTGTAGGTGTTTGTTGTAATTGTCTATCAGTCTCCTACATCGACTTGGAACATTTTTTGCCCACTCCTCCTTACAGAACTCCTTCAACTGTGTGATGTTTTGAGGGCCTTCTTGTATGTACAGCCCGCTTCAAGTCCCCACAGCATTTCTATGGGATTAAGCTCTGGGGTTTGTCTTGGCCATTCCAGAACCCTCCATTTCTTCTTTTTGAGCCATTCTTTTGTGGATTTGCTTGAGTGTTTTGGGTCATTGTCTCGTTGCAAGGTCCACTTAAGGTTCAGTTTCAGCTTTTTGACAGATGGCCTCACATTCTCCTCAAGTACTCTCTGGTTCAATGTGGAATTCATGCTTGACTCTATAATGGCAAGCTGGCCAGGCCCTGAGGCAGAAAAGCCGCCCCAAACAATATTTCCACCACCATGCTTTACAGTTGCTATGAGGTTCTTTTGGTCAAAGGCAGTTTTTGGTCTTCGCCAAACATGATGTCTGGCATTGTGGCCAAACAGCAAACCTTTGTCTCATCTGTCCAGACCACATTGTTCTAATAGTCCTGATCTTCACCCAGGTGTTGTCTGGCAAACTTCAGTCGTACACCTATATTCTTTTTTGAGATCAGAGACTTCTTCCTTCCTGACCTTGCTTGTAGGGCAAAGTTGTGCAGTCTCTATCAGATGGTTGACTCATGCACTTTGACATTGACTGAGGCAAGACTTGCCTGTAACTCCCTTGATGTTATTCTGGGGTTGTTGGAGACTTCCTGCTGCATCTTTCGGTCAGCTCTTGGGCTGAATTTGGTGGGACGACCTGGCCTGGATAGATTACCAGTGGTTTGAAACTTTCTCCATTTGTAGATGATCTTTCAGACAGTGGAGTGATTGACTACAAATTGCTTGGAAATGGTTTTAAAACCCCTTCCCCAATTCATAGGCATCAACAATCTTTCTTCTGAGGACCTCGGAGAGCTCTTTTGATCTTATTATTTTAAAAAAAATAAGATCACGTTTATCTATCAGTATTGTTAAAATGATGATGAAGTATCCTTTTGTCCACAAATGTAAAAAAGACGAACCTTTTCATGCTGTGTACTTACTTTTTCACACCACTGTATTTAATGAAAAACATGCTTATTTATAATGATTTTTGATAAACAAATGCTGATTTAGTTGTGCTTAATGTTGTAGTAAGTCAGAATACAGAAGGAATATGCATTGCTTTAACAATGTTATAGTGGTATTGAAATTAATTTGTATTGCAAGTTTTTTAGAAGGAGAAAATTAATTGTTAATGCGATCAAAGATCATTGGCAGGTTTCAAGCAATGGGTTACTAATAACAGCATGAGATCATGAAAGGATGAGACTGCATTCAGTATGAGATTAGTAAGCATGTGACAAGTTGACATAATACTTTATTAGTATTTAGAATTTATTTTTATATTACTGAAAGTATATTATTGAGGCTCACAAGCCGGGATTTTAGAGGGCCATGCCTATTTGACATTTTCTGTATTACCTGCGTAGGAAGAAATTCCTGTTTTCTGTAAACGTGCCAAGTACAAACCTCCCAACAGTCTGACATGACTAACAAAAGGCTCAGATTTTAATGAGTTTTATTTAATCAGTTTTCTTTATATATTGTTTCATCTACACAGAATATTGCTATCATCTCAGAAGAGGAATCCTTCATCTTTTAAGGTTATTCTCCTGTTTTTTTTTCTCACTACAATTTTGGACTCTGAGACTGATTATTGGTCTGTATCTTTATTCTGTCCTTAATATATAGTGTTCACATTTATATTTTTTTGTCCCCGGTTCACCCAATGGCTGAAAATCTCCCTTTGGGTAGTGATAAAGAAGCATTTACAGCTGGATGTGATGTCAGTGCTTCTCCAGAAACTTTAAATATGGATGTAAGTGAAGAGCAGGCCCAGAATACCTACAGTGAGCCACCAGAGCTGTCTCACAGCACTGTATCTTTGGAGGTTGCAAGCAAATCCCAGGAGTCTCACCCTTCCCAGAGCTCTGGAGAAAATACGAATGCTCTTAATTTGTTTGCTACTCTTGGTCTGTCACCTGAAGACTTGGATGCATTGGCACAGATTCCGGAAAATAAGATTACTGTGGAAACATTGCCTCATCTTATCATGCAGCTTAAAGCAAAGAAAAGTGCAAGAGGTCATTCATCAGACCATCGCAGCCAGCGTAGTGCCTCCCCTCCAAGAGAGCAGCAGTACAAACCTTCAGAGGACAAGTGGCAGGACGTTGGGCCCAGTAGTAGGCCCCCCAGATCTAGCAGTAAATCTCCGGTCCACAGTTATGTGGTTGATTACAATTATGGAAAATCTGGGAGAGAAGATCGCGCAGATAGAGCGAGAGAAGATCGAGATCTCCGTTATTCGAAACCGTCCCACGAGAGACCTTATGTAGAGAGCAGACCACGGTCTCCGTCATCATTCGAGGTCGATGATTTTCATGGATTAATGCCCCGCTCTTTTCCACACGTTTGCTCTCTTTGTGATTTTGATGTGAATTCAAGCAGGGTAAGTTTTTGTTTTTCCACTTTGGTTGGTTTCGTCTCTCTTCCCTTTGTAATCCACGAGCTTCAGTGTTTCATGTTTATTTTTTTTTAATTTGTTTGCAACTTTGTTTTGTTTTTCAACATTTTACTGCTGCTTTTTCGAAAAGGTTGAATTGCAAGTTTGCAAAAACTAAAACGTGGCTGAAGTTACGTCTTTGGACATCCATAAAATGTCCCAAACTCCTATAAAATCGAATCTGTTTACCACCAAAGTGTTGATCTGTGATGGTAAAATTGCACTCGGAATTCAAAATGAAACAGTCAGCACCACTTAACTAAATTGCATTGTGGTGACCTGTTTTGTATTTTTACAACATATCATTCACCAGTTCTTTAGAAATAAATTCTGTTTAAAATCATCAAAATATAGATGTCCTCTTTTTACACACCATTGTCTCTCTCGTTAATAGGCCATCCAAGCAAAATAGGAAAATTTCTCAGTATTAGTTAATAGTGAAATATTACAGTCGCCTCTTTCACTTATTGGTTTTGGGTACTTTATAACATCCTTATATTTTGTTGAAGAGTGTTAGGAAAAGTAAAGCACAATAGGTTTTAAAAAAGAGATCCGTTTAAATCAGGTCTTCAAAATGCATAACTATACTAACAAATGTACAAAACATTAAGACTTTGTTGTCATTTCAAACTATGAACAGCAGCAATGGAGGCTGTAGCAGAATTTTAGAATTCTGATTTTCACTTGGATTTTGAAAGGCCCTTGTAGGACTAGCTATGTTGTAGTATCATGAAAAAAAACAGATTTTTTTTTTTAGGCCTGGAGTCAGCACATTAATGGGGTCCGACATGCAGAGAATCGACGTGACCTCCTTCGCATGTAAGTTGTACTTGCACTGAGCCGAGATGTACTTTAATACAATATAAGATAACAGCCATTGTTTCTGCTAGATTACAGTTTTTTTTGTATTCATTTTGTATTGCTTTGTAAGATGTCCAAGAATATTGAAACTTTAAAGTGTTAATGAAATTAATTTAGAAATTCACTTAACTTACACCTACATAAATTCTTAAAGTGATTTATATTCTTTATTTTTTTTATTACTTTGTAGATATCCAGGATGGGATCCACAATTCATATCGAACAGAATGTGAGTAGTGTGATTTGTAAACTGCAAAGAGGTTACAGAATACACAGCCTGCAAATACAACATAAGGCTGAGTTTGATTTCTTTATACTGTCTGCTAAATGTAGTCCTGTGCTCCAGTCACCTGTTATACCGCTTGAAATGTACTTAATTTTTTGGCAATCGTAGTGGTTAAGAATGTGCATTAATTGTTGAATTTGTCTTAATAGTAGTGATATGTAATCCATGTTATTTGGTAAATTCACTTTTAATGTGAAGGATCTAGTTATTGCAACAATTATTGTTATCAGTTTAATACAGCAACAACATGTTTAAAAACATAGAACAGAGACCTGACGGTATTTTCTTCCTGCAAGGCCTGACTCGTATCCACCAGATGACCTCTTGTCTTCCGGAAGAGCAGGATCCCGGTCAAGCAGCTCACAGAGGAGACCATATAGTTCAGATCGTTCTGCGGGTAATAAAAACAAGCACCGTTTTTCATTTGGCTGATGCTATTGAGTAGGCAAGTACGAAGTGTTGGAAATTACAGATGGATGAACACAAACTGTTGTGATGCCTGGCGATAGTCCAAACTTGCTGTATAGTTTCCCTCCCCCCATATTATTTCTGTCCTAGATGCATGCCCACTGAAGTTTCCAACAAATTGATTATTGCTTACTCAAAGGTCAGTTTAGTTTTGCCATTCGTGCTTCATTCCTGCTGACTTTTCCAGCTATACTGTAGCTGAGGTGGCCATTCTAGGACTGGAGCAGTATGTGATCACTGGAGCTATTTTTTTTTGTCAATTTCAATTATGTCTAAGATACTAGTCAAGCAAGGTTCCTCATTTGGAACCTTACTTTATTCTTCCTGGAAGCAATTGTCATTTTAAGAAACACTTAGGAAGTTTTAAGAATTTTAATGTACAGGATTATCTTCATAACCTGGCTTTAATAAGCTGGATCAGAGTTTCTCTCATTTGTCAAAAATCCTTGGGACCTACTTTAAAAACAGTTTTAGAAATGTTGTCTACAATCATGCACCGTTTAAAAGCTTTAAAGTTAGCCCTGAGCTGTCAGCTTTAATTAAACACAAGAATCTAGGCTGGCTAAATGCTAAGGCCTCTAAGAATCCCACTTGTCTTTTTTCCCATACAAATTGGAAATAGGCGAACTTATCTAACTTCCTAAACATTTCCTCAATATGTAATGAGCTAAATTTGTGGAGAAGAGAGAGTTTCTCTTTCTGTTATCAGTTTAAATTATCTGCCTATATAAGGATTATTGCTATTGTTGCCATGTACGGACCATGTACAGTGGTGTAAGAAACCAACACTTGTATTTGAATTCTTCTGGTTTTAAGGTGAAAGGGCTACACTTCCACCAGAAAGACGACCCCTTCTGAAACCAAAGGTAATCTTTTTCCTTTGCTTCAAAATAATTACTGAAGAGTCAGTCTTTGTTGTATTTGACCTCCATTCTAAAGAAACCTGCTGTATTGCTTTTCTGTAGTATTTCATAAGTATGTATTCTTTCTTTGCTGTTGACGTTGTATGACTGTATGGATTTAGGACCATATGAGTGCACGCAGTATAGACTTTCAGTGGAACTTGAAATTTAAACTACTTGAAATGATGCAGTATTAAACTTGCTACAGTTTATGTTTTGTGTATTCATACTGGATAATTCTTTAAATGGCAAATTCAGTAAATGAACTGGAGGGGTAAGTACTGTATGATATTCTATTTATAGATACTTATTATACATCTTCGTACTTATTACTAATTAATTATTGTTAAACTTCACTGAGTGTATTTGACAATGTTCAACTACAATTGCTAGAAAACATCATGAGGGCATTTGATTATCTTTCCTTAATGCATTAATTGAGCTGTGCAAAGTTTTGTTCTGGAATTATTTGTGTTGTGGGTAAAGATAAGTCACAGCAGTGAATGTTTTTATTCTTGACACCAGGCAGGAACAAGAGTGGTGGTCACTAAATTTCCAAAAGGGACTTTGGATGTCAAGGATTTGCTAAAACTGGCTGAGCCATTTGGGACTGTTGTTAAACACTTGGTGTTCCCTTGTAAGGTAGGACTCTTATAATAATAGGTTGTATTCTAGCACTAAGGGTTTACAGCATGTGGAGTTTGTTTTTAGATCCTTCATGTATTTTTTAATTACTTATTTGTTAATTTAAGATGAACATCTGTGGCACATAACCTCCATGTATTCCTTTATTGAATTTTAGCATAATCTTTACTTTTATCTTCTGGTTGATTCATATTTATACTGCTTAATTAGCAAACATTGTAAAAGTGTTGATACCTTTGCATATTGTTAAAAGATCCTTTCATCTGTACTAACAGTTCACCATTCATATTCTAAAGTTAATGATTTAGTTCTTGAAGAATTCCATAGCAAAGGAGTTTAAAGGAAACATTTGACCATATTGAACATTTTCATGTTCACATGTAAACTTGAAGAAAGTCAAACTTTTAACTTCTGCTCAGGTGATATTTGTGATATTTATATGATACAGGTAGATACTGTAGCTGATATGATATTTCTTTAACTATTAAATTCTAGTTTTCTGTGTAGTAGTAGTCTTGGAATTATGGCACAGTCCTTAACTACAGTCTAGCAGGGTTTTTAGATGCCTGTTTTACACTTGGGAATATTATTATTCTGATTTATCTCAGAAAATCTTAAGTTCATGTATATAGTTAAGAGCTCACTTAAAACATAAATCACAGGATGCTGAGGTTGAAACTGCAAATGTAGTGGTGAAAACCTCCCAAGCTAAGTAATCAAGGAAGTATCATCCAAAACTTCAGTAGCGTTTAGAGCACAGCTTATTTTTTCTTTTACTAGACACAGACATCTAAAACTTGTGTGTACTAAGGTTTAAGGAAAGATACACATGCAGAAAACGCTCCTGATTGCAAAATCATCTATCCATCCATTTTCTATCCACTTCTTTTTACATTTTAAGTTGTTACATTGTAAATGCTGAGAAACATTGTGACTCCATGCACAACAACATTGATTGAGAATTTTACATGTCTGAAGTCAGCAACATTTTTCAATTACTCTGTTATTTAGGGTTTTTTGGAAATGTCTACACACAAAGAAGCAGTAACTGTGGTTAACCACTATCAGAAGAAGCCATTCTTTGTAAAAGATATAAAGCTACTCATCTATTTGTCCCCTGTTGTTGAGAGCATTAAGGTAAGTATTATTATATTGTTACAGGCTATCTTATAAAATAGAATCTAGATTAATATGTTTAACAATTCTCATATAATTCTACCACCAAGTATGCCATTAATTTTTCTATCTGGTCAAATTGGAAGATAAATATAAAAATTTAAAATACTCCCTTTTGAACAAATGCTGAATATTGTCTTTATTTTATTTTAACCACGAAGAACATTTCTATTTACTTTTTTCCAACTTTAAAATTTCAGCCAGACAGTTTTTTCCCCACTCTCTTCCTCTACATTTGTGATTGTTTTAAATGTCTCGTAACTGTTAGTAGACATGTACACAGAGTAAAACCAGATTTTAAAGTCAAATGAGCATTTACAGAGTCTTATTGTTCTCCTGTTTATAGGTGTCCATAATATGCTTTGCTTAACATCAAGCTTTTTTTCCTTATGATTCATTTAGACCCCTAGACTGGATGTGCCTGAAAAACATTCAAAGAATCAAGGTTATGCTGTGGTGTGTGTTTCTCACCTTCCAGTAGGAAAAGACATAGAATCTGAACTCATTGATGTAGCTAAGCTGTTTGGGGAAGTGCAGTGCTCTAAATTTTCAACAAATGAGGTAAGTAGTGAGAAAAAAATGGCATTTGAGGGCTATTAACATAAGGATAATTGATTTTTGTTTATTGTTTCCATTTTTTCATTATGTTTTGTAGGCTCTTATAGAAATGGCAGATTTTGAAGATGCTGAGATAATGGTGAAATACTACAGTTCCAATATGCTCAGGATCAATGGCAAGAGTGTGAAGGTAAAATTGTGGACAACACACAAAAGGCTTAGGTAAGGAATATACCTTCACAGATGTACAATGAAAAATGTTCATCTACAGCATGTTTATTCCAATTTTTTTATCATACCTTGCTAATGCATTATCCACAACTGTTAGGGGGAAAAAGTATATATACTGAGAAGCACTAAAAAAAAATATCTTGGTTCCAATTTTAATTCCTCTCAGTAATATGTACGTTAAATAATTTAAATCGTAATATATCATTCATACAGTCAGGAGAGTGTTCAGATTTTATTTACAATTTGAAGTTGATATGTTAGACTTTGCCCATCACTAATTGTTTCGGGGCTGATTATATCTGTATGAACTATGTTTCTGTGTAGTATTTCAGCTTTAGTAGAATCACATACTGAGAGCTGTCTTGTAGAGCTGATGATTGTGTGACAATTTTAGGATGAGCCCCGATTCGGCACCCTCTAGAAGGGGTGAAGTGAGCAGAAGGCACAGCAGTAAGCATAGGAGTGAAGAGTCTTCCAGGAGCTCTCATTCCAGAAACAAGGAAAGGACTCCTACACGCGGGGATTCCACAGAGAAAAAGGAAGACCTTACAGGGGAGGAGGAAAAATCTGACGACGAGCACAAGCATGAAGATGATGTGTTGGGTGAGTTGGATGTGGAAGTTGATGAAGATGATAAGGGAATGATGGTAGAGGAGGATGAGGATGATGCCAAGGAAGATGTGGCACAAGATGATGTGGCATCATGGACCCCAGGAGAGGAACCAATGGAGACGTCGGTGGAGGGTGTGGAGACGGAGGCAGATGTCCCAGAAAGAAAATCGCCTGACAGTGCAGAGGTTTTAATGGAACAGAACCTGGAGGAGAAATCCCAGGAGAGTTCAAAGGAATTGTGTGGGAATACAGAGGCAAAACCTGGAGAGAATTCTCATTCGCAGGATCTGATGAAAGAGCTGCCAGTGGAATCTGCAGAAAACTCAGAGATCCCAAAGGAAGAGTTAGTAAAGGAAGAAGCCACATCAACAGAAGAAAAGGAAGCTGTGGAGTCAAATGAGTGTGAAGAGGTAAGGAATTCTACTGTGGTGATAACACATAGCATCATATGTTCTGGAAAATGGAATAATAAAATGTTTAAAGGATTGTCATGTAATTAATACTGAAATTGAAGATCCCTCCGTTTATATAATATCTATATCACTACTGCTAAAGAACTGGATTGCTAGAAAACTGTTAAATGCTAAAGAATACAATTCTGATAAAAGTAACGCAAAGCATTTAGTGAATTGTGCAGATGCTGTGGAGAAACTGGATGCATTCAATGCTATTCCCAACTGAACAAGTAATAGGTTTATTCCATGCTGAAAAAAAGAAGAAGAAAGAAAACACTTTGGTATTATTATCTGACACTCTGTAAATTCCAAGAACCTTAAAATTCACATTGATTTAATGTATTGTAAACGGTGCCATTTATTATTAATAATAGCAAAATGTTATATTTTTATTTTAGGAATGTCTAGATCAGTAATGTAGAGTTAAAATTGAATCTGACTACTTTTTTAGTTTTTGTTAATCATTGCTAATACTTCTTGTACCAATAAATTGAGTACTGATCTATCTTCTTAATGTATAATTTAAACATCTTGCATTTGTTTTATCTGTTAATAAAATCTTTGAGTGTCATCTGTTTTAAAACCTTTTTAAAGGGTTGTACATGCAGATGTGCATCTGTCACATCTAGCAGAATATTTCAGATTTTGACATTTTAAGAAATAGCTAAATAATGTAATTGAAAATTGTAAAAGTTTCATCACTGAAAATATATTTCTAAGGAAACATGCTCAGGAAGAAATTCACAGCTCTATAATTTGTATTCTATTTTTTCCAATGTGTTGTTTTTTAAAGGAAGAGATGCTAGAAATGGATTTTCCAGAGAATTTGGATGACTTTGTTACACTGGATGAGCTAGATGAAGATGCTGAAAATTCAGAAAATACATCGGAAAAAGAATCTGAAGTATCGTCTTCTAGTAAGGCTTTTTCTGATGATGTTAAATGTTTTAGGATTTTTTAAGAGTGATGCTATACAAATTCATCAGAAGCTCTAAGATATTCAAGTTTTAGTGTACCTAGAAAAAGCAGAAGAGAAAAGTTGTTTCTAAACTATAAATCAGTGAGTCTGTTTGGTGTAAACGCATACATGCATACTCATACAAGAAATGCACTTAATTGGTAAATGGGATGACAGCATAAGCAATGCAGTGAATCTGCTTAATGGCTGAGAGCTGCCCCCGATAAATGGTTCCCAGATGATTGTTGAAATATATTATATGTTTTGTACCACCATCAGAAAAGTGTACTGGCTTTGTCACCTTTGTTTCATTATATATGCGGGAGCGTTAGTGTATCTTAAGTGTAATAAATTACAAGATTTTTCTATTCCAATGTTAAAGTATTATTTGTTCTTTTTATGTCTTTTGGCTGTGCATTTAATATCCTAACTTTTGCATGAGAAATGACAGTTTATGGTCCATACATACTCAGTTTATGAGTATAAAAGTGTTATTAGAAATACAGAAAGTCCTGAAATGTCTTCATTTTCCTTTTAGGACACCTGCAGGAATCTTTAAGGGTTAGTATACAATTTTGTTTTCTCTCTTTTCTGTTGCCGAGGACAAAGAATGTTTGCCCTACAGCAATTAAGGTGAAAATATTGTGTGCTTTTTAACAGGCTGGAAGAGTTGTTGTCATTAAAGACTTCAGAAGAGGATATGGCTCTAAGGAGGACATTTTTTATCTTGCCAAACCTTTTGGGAAAGTTACCAAGCACCTAATACAGTACTACAAAAATGAAGTAAGTGCCCTTAATAATTTGAGCTAGTGGCACATCTCCTATTATCACATAAAGCCAGTAACTTCAATAAATGTTCACTACAGCTATGGGGCTACACTGATGTTACCTTTTGACATTAATATACGTCATTTAGTTTGTTGTTCGTTATACACCACTCTGAAAAAATGATGATTGATCATGTGGTTTGTAGATATGTATTAAATGTAAAAAGTTGTATGTTCCTGTCCACTTAAATTGAATTGAATTGAATTTATGTATGAGCTTCTTTACAATAAAGATTCAACAGGTCTCTGTTAGCCCCTTATTTCTGGTATGGGAAACATTTCAGTGCTAATGTAATCTTGGGTACATTGATGGTAGTGCTGTTAGAAAAATAGAGGTTTATATATTTTTGGAGTGAATCATAGATACTATAAAAGTGGTGTTGTATATAAAAAGGAACACTTAAGTAATAGCAATACTAATTATGGTTGGTGTACCCTGTGACATATGTAACATGACATTTTTCTTACAAAACTTGACATACTGCCTTAAATGTTATAGCATGCAGATAATATGTTGTGATTGAAGCAGCAGATTATTTTTTAGCTCTTTTTGGAACAGATTTGTAAGTGTCTAACATTGTCTCTAATATACATTGATTTCCTTGTTATATTAGGCACTACTGGAATTACCAACAAAAGAAGCAGCAAGCAAAATGGTAGAATTTTACAGTACAACCAAGACAGCACTAGTGTGTGGCAAACCTGTCACGATAAGTCTATGGCTTGAAAAGGAGGAGTTAGAGGTATGTTCATGAAAAAAAATAAAATGAAGTATAGGTGCTGCCAATGCTTGGATCTTTTTAGCATATATTTACCCCATCATGCATGCAAAACTAATAGAAAAAGAGCTAAAATATCACACTGTTAAGCTAGAAACAAAAAGGAGTATTTCATCCAAGATGTAGGGGGTGGTATCTGGAGACCCGGCAGTAGCTGTGGGGGACAAATGTGATGCAGAATCAGGTTTAAGGTTAAAACTCATCACTCCAACCTTACATTTTGTTTTCAAAGTAATGAAAACTGCACCAGCCATTTCATTAAATTACTCAATATACATATGTGCGTGCAAAGGTCCTACTGTGCTTTGCAAATTATTTGTTGAGGTAATGACTAATTTTACATAATGCAAGTTGCATACATTCTGACTGTTTACTGAATACAGACTGTTAAATATCTTAGGTAAAATGCTGAAAATTGAAAAACAATGTTTGTAAAACTTGGGAACTGCTGACCTAGATATTTTAATTATCTGTTATATGACTTGGCAGAGTTTTCTTTGTTCATGACTGAACTTGTCTTATATTAGGGTTTGGGTGATATGCTTTATAATAAGGTTGCTGGAGGTACAAAATGCTGTCTGGGTGATCCGGAATTGTCCTGAGGGCTTTATAATAAAGTCTGTTGAGAGAAATATTGAGTTTGAATTCCATCATAGAAAGTATATTCTTTGAGATGATATCAGAAATTATGTTGCCCTAGATATAGCATGTGTATACAAACACTGTTGGACTCTAGGTCATGGTAAATCCAAAGCATACAGTATGTAGTGCTGGTATACATGTTCTAATCACATTTAATGTATTACAGTCTGTCTTCCTAAACTTTTGTCATTTACCTGTTTTTCCAAAGGGCCCAAGTGGAAGATCAGTTTTCATCACAATGCTTCCTTTTGTAAAGTTTTCTGACTACTCTCTCCTAAGGATTGCTCAACCTTTTGGGAAAGTCACTGCCTACTGTTTGAACTGGACTTACAAAAGGGTATGGCATGCATCTTTGTAAGTTAACTCTACTAGAAGAACTGGGGTGTTGGTCAGAACTCTCCCAATTAGATATATAGTTGTGTCTCTGTGGCTCATCAGCAAGACTCTTAGAAATACTGTTGCTGTACGAAAGCACAGAAATGGCTTTTTGATGGAGGAATTGTTTATTTTCAAATTGTTAAATATGTTTGTCTTAAAAATGCGACATAATCTTGAGATGTTCTATAATTAATTCTGAGTCAATATGCATTTATACCAAACTAGCTCTTGTGGCCTTGAGCTCTGTATTTATTACCTGCTTTCTCCAGAAAAAAGTGCAAGAAGAATTTAAGGACTGTACATGATATTTGAATCTTCTGTTTCACATGGACATACAGTACCACAGTATGTTTGGATCTGCTTAAAACTGTTTCTACGTTAATAACATTTTATTTTTAAAGGTCCCCAGCTATAGTGATGATATCTGAAGTCCTGCATTTTTTTAGAGCAGTATATTCATACATTGAGCTTTACGTTTGTTTAAGTTTGGTTGGAATAACATTGTCTGAATTATACCGTTGAACAGGCTGTAAAAACAATTTAATTGCTAATTTATATGTATTCACTTTATGCATTCCCAAATATTCTAACAGTACAGTTCCAATTGTTCTGTAATAAAATATTTATTCCATAACAGAAAGGCAGTGTCTATTTACACAAGTTTATATTTAAATCTAGCAGCAATGGAAATGCAACTCCAGATGGGAAAAGATTTGTTTTTTTTAGAGAATTTCAATTTTTTAGCACATAAAAATTTAAGATCCTTGCTTTTCTGTACTGTTAGCCAGCATAGTGGACAACTAGGATGCAGCATTGGAGACTCTTATCGAGGAGTAGAATCCTTGATATACTTTTTTTTTTCCGAAAAGAGGAGGTCTTTAGTATCGGGTCTAAACAAATGTTTGTTTTTCAGTGTTACATTCAAATGGACACCACTGAAGCTGCAGAGAAAATGGTGAAGACATACTCTCGGTACCCACCAAAATTCTACGGCAGATTTTTACATGTTTATTTGTGCAGGAAGAGTGACGCACTGATACCTTGGTATGTGATTGTGCCTTCTATCAGACTGTTTTTCTTCTTACTGATCACAGTGAATGGATTGTAATCATGGGGAGGGGGTGGCTATGCTTTATACTTGCTTAATAAATACTTTATATTTAGGGAATATTTGCTATATCTGATCTGGAGATATTCTCAAAAAAGAGTGCACTTGATTGATGCTTCAGTTTAAACTTATCGTAATGGTAAGTTCTTAAGTCTATAAATATTTTTACCAAGTTTAACACATATGTCAGGGTGAATGGTATTGTAAACTCCATTATGACTAGAAGGCATGGTACATCTTAGCTCAGCTGTGTTGATTGATTTATCATTCACATGATATCAGGAACACGCCATTGGTCGTGTGGATTGAAAAAATTAACCTTCGCAAAACTTCTTCTTCTGTTTAAAAACGCATGGCATTATCGATGGCATTTTTTTTCCAGACGTTACATTCCCTTCTGTGCTCAAACACATTCTCGTTATTTCGGGTTGTCTTTGTGCAGGAAGATGCCCCCTCCCGAGCACGACAAGAAACCCGCTAAAAGAGAGCGAACAGAGAGCAGCCGGAGTGAGGAGGACGCTCCCAGCAGCTCCCAGTCTAAAGCCAAAGCCAAGGAAGAGGGACCCACAATGAAAAGGCTCTGCACCCGGGAGGACAAGGGCTCTGCAGAGAGGACAGGCTGCAAAGAGCAGCAGGAGTCTGCTGTGAAGAAGAATGAGCAGGGAGAGGCTGCAGACTCTGAAGAGAAGAACAGCGAAGCCCCAGACACTTCCCAGAAGACTCCTGGAGAAGGGGTGAGCAGACAGGATCTCTTTCCCACATCAAGAATTGTTTTTATGCTATTTATACACAATGATGTGGAGAGATTCTGCGTAAATGCAAGAAGGTCTTTTACCTTATTAATCAACCGCATCAAACGGAGACATTATATTCACAACAAGTCCAGCATGACATGTTTGTCAAAGTCTGTGAGCAGATTGTGCTAAACCTGTTGAAACCTATTCAGGTATCGTAAAAATATTGAAGTATTTTACATGTGTTTTCATCAGGGTGAAAGCAGTGTGTCAGACAATGAACCCTTCAGTGTTGCTCCTGAGCAGGCTGCTGAAAGCAGTGAAGTGAGTGAGCAGAATGGTTCTGGCGCTGCCTCTTCCAATGGAGAGAGTTCCCAGGCCTGTGATAAAGATGAGCCTGAGAGGAAGACACCTGTCCCTCTGGGGCCATACCAACCCAACAACCCTGTGGGTAAGAGCCTGCGGAGGAAGGTGGCATACAGCAATTTCTAAATAATAAATACAAGAGCGGGGGACTGCATTTCATAGAAATTCTCGAATGAGTAAACGATGTTCATTGATTTTTTTTTTCTGTAAAGTATTAATTGTGGGTTTGTCTCTCAACTTTTTTTCTGACTACACATAAATTTGAAATGCAATAATCGACGACCTAGACATTTTCAGCAAACATGTTCGACAAAAACAGTTGTTTTGTGAAAAGTAGTTAAAGAGGAAAGACTACATTTACAAACGCATTTCTTGTATATTTCCCAAGTACCTGTAACAATGTTGGCTTGATAAAATGTATATAGCTCATAGCTAGTATTGCAAAATATTAATGCTGTTATCTCATACTTTCATGCTTTTTTGCAGGACTGGATTATATTGTCCCAAAAGTTGGTTACTTTTGCCAGCTGTGCAGTCTTTTCTACACAAGTGAGAAAACAGCAAAGACCGTTCACTGCACCAGCCTGTCTCATTATCAGAAACTAAAGGTAAAGGTTTTTAGTGGACTTCTCCTGCTTGATGTAAACGGCAGGAATACATTTCTTTTAACACATAAGCAGCACACATTTATTAGAACAATGTTAATGCTTTTCAGTATATTAATGGAAATGAAGTATTATTTTCATATCTTAATAAAAGGCAATGAACTACATATAACCTTCCTTTCAATTTGAAAGTTATAGTTACACATAGGTTACTTAGCATTTATTTTAAGCACTGAGAGGCCTCCCTTCAAAATGTATAGACTAAACATAACCCACTAAATTAAGCCGCTATCGGTTATTTAAAGGAAATTTGCAAGAAGTTAATAAAATAGTATTACTACGAACCATTCAAACTATCTTAAGAATCTTATTTCTATAACATTACAAGAGCATCTAAGGCTGTATCCTAATTACAATGAAGGTGGATAACAGAGAATACTAACTGTTTTGTAACAGTATTGTCATCAGTTATATTTGGAGAAGACTGATGTCTTACTTTTTTTACTGTATGATGAAAGGTGTAGAGTTCTCCCATTTTGCTCCAGGCTGAGTCTTCTGAAATAGTTTTCCAGCCAGTGGCACACTTGCTATTGTTCATCACACTGAACATCCCCTTCTCTTGTCTTCCTTCTTCACCCTTGTCGTATCAGTGCATTTTTATATTTATAAGTGGGGGTCACCTTCACTTCATGCCGCAAGGCTCAATAAAAAGTGTTGCCAGCTTTTTTTCAAAATTGAATTTGCATCCTGTTTAATAAAGATAGCCCCGAAGCTGGACAGATCCTTTGGTTGGGATATGCTGTTAATAAAGAAAGCGGTATCCCTTCAAAGCAAATGTGCTACAGGCTTTACAGCTGTGGATTATTGCTTTTTCTCACTTGCACTGGATTTTCTGCAATGTTTTCTTTTTCAGGAGAAGCTGGATGAAGGCAAAGACAAGGCACCAGAATAGGAAAGAATGAGGATGCATACTGAAGAAAGACTGCTGAATAATGTTTTGCTGTCAGGATGCTGGGATCAGTCTTTAATCTTTTCCACAACTGGAAGTGTTTTTTTTTTATGTTCCAGAATGCTGTAAAGATTTTGTTTAGGTTCGCCTGACCATCCCAACAACTGAACTACACACAAATCAGCTGTATGTAACTAAGGATGATGTAAATCTTTTGTTCAGTTATAGTGTGCTTGCTCCAGTCCACATTTCTTTGCACATTCCAGGAAATAATTGTAACTGGTTACCCAATAAATGTTTCACAGTTGTCTGAATTAGTTTCATTAGTTTGCAAACATCAATGTAAGACGGATTGCTGTAATCACAAGTTATTGGCTTTTAAAATACTTTTGGCTACATTTCATGGGTTATTCACAGAACCTAAATTGCCAAAGCATATAGAAAACAGAATCCTGACAAATTAAGAAGAACCTTCTAACTGTTAAAGCCTTTGCAGAGTTTTTTGGTTTTCAGGAACCATATCTTACACAGACTACATCTGTGAGTAGATGTTTTAAGATTTACCTGATATTCATTTTGTGAATTTCATTTTTTTTTTCATTTTGTACAGTTTTTTTTCAAGTTTTTATTTCATTTAATTTTCAGGCTTGTCCTTTTGCAGGACTTTTTGCATTAAAATCTTAAATGAAAAACGTCTGTGAGTCATGTTACATTATAAGAAATATGCTGCAAATTTGGTGTTTGTGTTATGCGTGTGATATCTGGTTCCCAGATAACATTTAGGTTCTGCTGATTGTTAAAGAGGGTGGGTTTCATTTAACACCTCGGCAAGGCCTTCTGAATTTTACAACGGACAAATATGAAAGTTGAACTTCTTGAAACATCTTTGGAAGATGACAAGACCAATGAATCTACCTCATAAAGTCATTTTAATTGTTTTTTTAAAACATTAGCACCAGTACAGTACGCCTAGGCAGCACACGTTTTTGTAATGATTTCGTAAATATTAGTTTTTATTTGCTCTACTGAACATGGAGTCTAAAATGAAACAACCTGTAGCTGCTAAGGAAAATGTTATATAAACCATTCCTGACTTAATATCTGATGGTAGGATAGTCCAGGCTCTGCTGAAAGAGAATCTGCATGGTTTTTATTCTCTATAAAGCAGGGAAAGGTTATTTTAAAAAAATATGCAGTGTTGTGTGTAGTAAAGGAACTGCAATGTTTACCGCTAGCGATGGTACACATTTTGAGCCATTTCTCCCTGTAGATGCTAATAATCGCAGTGGTGAAAATGAATTACTGTGCCTCAAATGAACAGTAAATCAAATCAAGAATGTAACAAAAATGACATAACGTGAAAATTATGCAAAATGGGAATAAAGGAGTGACGGGGGGAAAACCCCGACTACAGTTGTAGGACATAATTACAGGGTATACAGCGAACTGTGAAACAGGCAGATTTCACTTGGTAAAATTATATTGCTCAGATTGTATTTATTACAGAATATTAGCACATTTCATCCTTCCGTTACATCGACGTGGTATAGGACCACGCAATGTAGGTTTAAAATCAAGATGCGAGAAAAAAAAAACTTCAAAACATCCAACCCTCCTCTTTTAATACAACAGTATCGCTTTAGCGGTGCGGGCTGTCCCGCACTTTTCGTCTGTTGTGTATTCACTCGGTGTCCATTATTTTCGCCGGTTTAATTTTCAGATTGCCGAGATTCGAAAAGAAATGAGCTGGTTTCGCATTTGTTTCAGCAATAGAGGGGGCGAAAGGGGCTTCGCCACAAGAAAATACATTTTGAAAGGACGTGAAGCGTCACGGTATTCTCTCGATCCTGTGCTCGACTGTTGATTTCTCCGCCTTGCGGCCGCACAGGGGCCTTTTAATTCCGGAAGTTAAACCGCGGAATCTCTTCTTTCTGCGGCGAAGGTGGAGGAGGGAGACGTGAGTTGTAAACGAAATATCCACTAATAAACTTTATAGTTACGTTTTTTGTTTTTTGTTTTGGGTATAGATATATCATTTGTAAGTAAAACTGCACGCGTCATTTTAGTAACAATATTACTGTATTTTCTTGTTCGAGGATATTATGCTAGACGGTACATAGACTGTAAAAAAGCGCCTTGGCCTGCTTTGGGGGCCTTTTGGTTTGGTCGGCTTTTCGCATTGCAATATGTGAGGTTTGTGAAGGTTTTATTATGTGTTTGCAACGTAAGAGTGTTGTGCATATTGCTAACTGAGATAATCCTGTCAAGATGAGAAACATTTTCAATTAAATATCGCAAACGCGTGGTGTGAGATCTAGACCTTTCGATTGTGTGATGCCTGCTAATGATCCACATACGCAGATCATCAGTAAAAGGTTAATTTTCAGCTTTTACTTCTGTAACTATATAACTTGGGGTTAGTTATGAGTCGTACGAAATTTGCGCGCAGCAAGTCGCATTATGCGTCTGAAATCCTAAAACAGATTTTGTTTTGTTACGAAAAAGCTGAAGTTAATGTTTCTAAGAATTGAGGTATTGTTTATTTTTTAGGAGGGTGTATTAAAACTAAGGACTACTGCGTCCAAATTATTAGGTGGAGTGCTAGACTTGCAATACTGCAAGACGTCTGTTTGAGAGTATGAAATGACTTATTTTAAATGACTTTTAAATAAAACATGAATTTAAAGATGTAATATTTAATTGATGTAAACCATTTACGGTTATTTAAATTCTAGCATTCCATAATTGCACTGCTTATAACATGTTTGTTTGACACTGGACCTAGGCTTTTATTAGTTCTTTGTTGAGACTTGCGATTACAAGTTCATTGCGTGTTAAGATAGACTGCAGGGATGTTCTCCCGTTAAAATGAAGGCGTGGTGGCGTATTTAGTTTTGAAGTAGTATAGGGTTGAGGCATTTTTCTGCATCTGCGTGAGGCTTTTATTGCATCTTCATTTATTTCATGCAAAAAACAAACGGGATAGGTAATATAAAGTTCTGGAGCTTAGTGTGCGTTCGTTTTGAATAGCTGTGCCGTTTCCACATTTGTGAAACAAAACTTGTAGCACAAACATGGTGAATTTGGAAAGAAAAGGGTCTAAAAGCTTTCCTAAATTAACGTTTTTTTTTCGTTTTGCTATTGTTTTTGCTTAAAGAGCAGCTATGGAAAGATGGGGGGGTCTTTAATGGCCGCCCATCAAGGAATTAGGTTTTCTGGAGCGAAATGGCAGATCAGTTAGTCTTTCGCCTTCCTTTTCAGGGGTATGCTTTCAGCTTTAGTGAATTTGGTTGGGGGGAGGGGTGTCGTTCTTTATGTTGAACACTTCACTTGTTAGCTGACTGTCCAGCACTTTCTTTGTCCTTTATGGTGGCATTCTGTGTGATTCATTCCATTTGGGCTCTGGGAAAGCTGTATTTAGCTACACCTTTTGGGCACTTTAAATATTACACTCAGATTTTATAAACCCTAGTCGGATATGTCTGCTTTTTTATTGCCTGTAAGATTTCTTTGGTGAAACCCTCTTTGCTTTTATAGTCATATCCTTGGCTTGCAGAATCTATGAGGACTGCTCGTCTATGCCATTAGATTATATAAATATATAGTGTTCTGTGATATGTTCATCTCTAATGATTGCTACCAAAAAAATTGGTGCCCTTATCTTGGCTAAACACAGTTTTAATCTGAATGTCACTTAGTCTCATTCTGGGCTTAATGCTGATTCCTCGTTTTACAAGATCTACACCCATCTGTGAGCCCTGACACCTGCAAACAATAGCTACCTGCAACCACTTCTCACATTCGTTATTACCTTTCATGTGCTCTTAGCAGCTATGGCTTTTATTAAAAAGCTGAAATCTTTCAAAATGTCTGCTAATGCCTATTTTCCCCATGTTTGACCATTGACAAGTTGTTTGACCTATACATTCTTTGCAGATTTGCAGTGTCATGGTGTTAAACTGCATTACCTTAGGTTATTGCCCTCTTTAGAGGAGCATTTTTTAAAATATTGGTGTTCAAAGCACGTTTCAGCATAACAGATACTAGGGTCCTAATCCTTTCTGATTGTGTTTCTGCAGAGCATTTTGATACCATCAGAGAAGAGGAGTACTCCGATCGCTCAGTTCACTTGTCCTTTTATGCCTTTGACTTCCACTTACAGACTTTTTTTTCCTGGAGACTTGTTAGTCTGTGGCTTTGTTTTCTCTGTGCTACTGAGCTAAAATACAGCTTTGTCTGGCAATGTCCCAGAAGACCCCATCTAACAGTGTTCATAAGGGCTTTACTGCAGGACGAGGTCTCCTTGCTGCTGCAGAGTCTCTGAATTTCAGCATGAGTGACCAGCGTTCCCATGACTTCTACCCTCCATCGTCAAGGCCCTCTAATAGCATGACATCTCCTTTAAGGGCTGAGGGCCGAGGCCAGGATTCTTACCCTTCGCTACGCACTGGAAATGTTGACAATGCTATGAAGCTCTTTGCTAGTCTTGGTCTTTCACCCAAAGACCTGGATATACTGGCACAGATTCCTGAAGATAACATCAGTGTGGAAACGTTGCCGCGTCTTATAATGCAGCTTAAGGCCAGAAAAGGTGAAGGGAGCCGCCGTATGAATGACCCTAGAGATCTTCCACCCCTCTTACCGGATCCCCCCTACCGGGCTTCCAGGGATGACTGGAATGACGTCAGGCATGCTAGGCCTGCCAGTTCTGTCGGAGAATCTTCTGGCCGCAGTCAAGCAGTTGACTTTAGTTACGGCCACGCGCAGGAGGGGCAGTCCAGAAGCTTTGAGAGAATAGGCTATTCCGAGGGAGGCAGCAGAGATCGCCGTTATTCTGAGCTTTCCCAGAATCGCTATGGTTCCGACAATCAGCAAATGGGCACGTCTCTGGGATCCGAAAGCCTGTTTATGCAGAGGAGGACAGGGTCCCCCTCTCCTGGCAAAGTTCAGGATTTCCATGGAGTCATGCCCCGGTTGTTCCCTCATGTGTGCTCACTTTGTGATTTTGATGTGCATTCTAGCATGGTGAGTATTCTTTTTACATGTAAAATGCACACCTTATCTTACCAAAACACTATTTCTCCTGTTTGTGTACCTTTACCAGATGGTAATAGTTGCAGATCTTTGCAGTTAAACCTGAAATTGGAACCTTAATTTGTGAAAGGTTTTTTTTTTTAACCATGAAAATCCTGGAACTGCATCTGGAAATCTGGAATTAAGTACTTAATTGTGCCTTTCTTTCCTGTTGTATCAATGGAAATCAAGCTGCCTTGGTCGTATCAGTGGGGAAACAAATTGTTGCATCTGACCTGCAAAAATGCATTTCGATACACAAGGATATTGTGAAGAACAACAAGGGCTCTTCTTTAAATGTGAATTTGGGTATGAAAGTAGCTTTGGTGTGCATTGTTCTTTCATATAGATGGTTAAAACCCAGAAGCTAAAAAAAAATCAATTCTTCCTTGCAAATGTAGTGCATATCACAAAGCTCTTGTTTAACATTTTGATCAATGACTCTGGCATTTTACATTTATTTTTGAAACAATAGGGAATCATAAAAGTTCTTTAACTTTCTTAATTTCACAGTTAGTTCAATGTGGAGCCTGTTGGTGGTTCTCCTTGTAAAGTTGCTGTTCAGAGATCAGACTTTGAGCCCAGATCTTGCTGGACCAAGTTTGCACTATTTGCTGGTCCCATAGCAATGCACAGAATTGGCTCAGTTCCTCCAGGTTTGGGTGGGCTTGTGCCGGTCTGGGTCTTTCTTACACCACAAACCCTGCTCTGGTTTGCCAGGAGCTTGTGAACTTGTGAGAGCTGCATCACTCCTCCAGTTGATGCTACCTCTCCTGTAGGTGCTATGGGATTCACTCTCTGAAGAAGAACTGGGTGGCTCTGACTTTATTTCAGAGGAAAACATACAGGGACCCCATCCTTTCTACGAGGGCCTACTGCTCCCTACAGCAGTCGGCTGGATTGACGAACAGTAACTGATTTTTAACTTGGCTGTGAAAGGAAAGGGGAAATGGCCATGTGTTTAACTTCTATGTCTTTGGCTAGTTTTCCTTTCTCCATGTGCAGAGTAGGGTCATTTTTCAGATGGATTCGTTTTATGGAAAGGCTTTATTTTGTTCTCATAAGTGCTTATTTTTTATTTAGGAGTGGACTCAGCACATTAACGGGCTACGACATGCAGAGTGTCGTCGACTCCTCCTTCAAGTGTAAGTGAATTTGTTGGATGGGTCGTCACTGCACTGATGTTTTTGTTGAGAGGAATTCCAAAGATGTAACACTGTGAAATGTTCTTGTTTTGGCTAAGCTGTGTGGGGTGCTTTTTTATTGTAAATTTGTCATTCAGAATGACACTACTAATCTTTTAATATCTCACAGGTATCCAGACTGGGATCCTCAAAGTCTGGCAAACAGAGTGTGAGTACCAAGTTCTATGAAAGATTCGTCACTATGGCTGGGACAGTAGTGTCTTTTAATCTGTTAAAATTCACCATGCGCTGTAAATAAGTTGTACTCCATAATCACAACTTAATATGTAAGGCATTGTATATCCAAAACAGGGGAACCTTATTAGGAAGAAATGTAGAATATTAGCAAATAGACTGCACTGTCCTAAATGGACATTGCAAGAGGGGAATGTAGTAGGTTGTAAATTGCTGCTGCCTTTTTTAGGAGTGGACAGATGGTTTAAGTGACTGATTTGCTCAAGTTGTAGTAAGCAGAATATGTATTTAAAGTGAAAGTAAACCGAAACAGCAGCTCCTGAGTCAGCAGGCGACTATCTGATTTGTGCTGGTTCTTGAAAAAATGCTGTAACTATACCTCTTTATATTCACAATGGTGGGCTAAAGTGCCTATGTGTGCTGAATGTGGAGTCCGGAAGCTGTCAGCACATTTCTGGACAGCCAGCAGATCCACCAGAGTAAATCATACCAAATCGATGGCCTTGTATATCAACAGTGATTAGACGGTAGAATGCATCTGTGAATTGAAAGTGCCTCAGCTTTAATTACTTGTTGTAGACCAGATTTGTTTTGTGACTAGCTATCATTATCAGTAACCCTCTTACCCTCTCTCTTAATGTCTTCTTAGTAGAAACCTCATGGAAGCAGGTGATTTTCACAGAGGCTCCGTTTTAGCTTTTAAATTGATAAGATCTAAGAAGATCATAATGTTAACCCCCCAGATTAAGGTAAAACCAGTGCTTAATCTGACAGCGTGTAAGATTGTGACATTCATTCTTCCCTACAGGCCAGATGCCCTCCTGCTGGAAACAACCAATCGAGCAGAAGGGATTCTGGGTCCTGCACCCCTTGTTCCTGGGCTTCAGAGAGGCGGGCTGACCTCCACCTGGACTCCAGGTAACATCACAAATACTGCAGTGTTGATATTTCGTATGTCGTTATTGCAGACTTCAAGATGTGTGCAGGACTTGTGATGCAGTTTAATAGGGTGTAATATTAGAGCAGTAATTGCCATTTATGCCACAGGCAATGCACAGGCTTAATGATCTTGTGCATGTTTGCCATGGGAAAAGTTACGTTTGTTCTGAAAGGCCTTTACAGTGAGTAATTCCTTCTGAAATATATAAATATTGTTCTTTTTTGGTAATATGGGTATAAATCAGCTATTGCTTCATGTCTTTCTCATTTTTATTTCCTTTGTAAGGCAATCTACTTTCAGGCCAAGGTGATGCAGCCTTTCCTTCAAAGCCAAAGGTAATCCTGTTCTGTAACTGAAGATATTTACCAAAGCATTCAGATAAAATATTTACTAACCCATTTATATTTAGCAATGCATTAACAAGAGCATTGGATTTATGTATGTATTTTAAGTAAATATTTTGATAATAAAACTAATATTCAGTGGTTCAGATTTTGATAGTTCTGAAAGTCTAGAGAAATTTGAAAATTGGGCAGGACAGGCTTAACCCTAATAAAGTTTTATATTTGTGGAACTTTGTTTTAAATATGAGCTTAAGTCTATTGCAAAGGAGTAGCACTAAAACAGCTGTGATTCAGAGTTATTCTGTGTACTGTATCCTTTCTAATGTCTTTCAAAAATATTCACCACTTTCCAAGCACCAGCACCTGAAAACCATAGGGGGAAGTTGGTATATTGGTCCAATTCAGTTGACTGGGACATTCATAAAATGAAATTAAAATTTGCTGACACTCCAGCTCATCAGAAGCGGAATTGTATGCTCTTGTCACAGGCTGTTGTAGTGATCTCGAAGTAATGAAAGCTGTCTTTCTACCAGATAAGAACCAAAGTGGTGGTTGCAAAGTTTGACAGAGGGGTAGTTACCCTGAGTGGTTTGAAGTCGCTGATCCAGCCATTTGGAACATTATGTCAACATCTAGTACTGCAGAATAAGGTAAACACAATTTTGAATTTACAGTCGTTTTTTGGTAATAAGTTTAACATAACAGGCCATATAGCTTTGTGATTTAACATTTAAAAAGATGTTTTGTATATGAATTGGGGAAAATTGAAACAAATGAAAATATCGTCTGTTTTTATGATTTAGGCGTTCTTGGAAATGTTAACGCATGAAGAGGCAGCAGCTGTGGTGAATTTTTACCAACAGAAACCAGCTGTGATCCATGGGAAAAAAATCACTTTATATTTGTCTCCAGAGATCTACACTATTAACGTAAGTTTATCTAAGCTTTGTTTTGAGCTGAGCTCAAGATTTAACGATGGGTTTTCTAGTCCTAATTAAATTGATTGTTTACCATTTTTTACTTTTTGTTAAAAGTCAATTGTTTTCACACTACTAAGATTAATTTTAAAAAGTTGATTCTTAAAGATATTTAGTACTTAAGTCATTTACCCCTACTTGTTTCATGGGCAATGTTAATTGAAAGACTCGACGTTTTCTGATCTCCCAACAGAAACGCAGAAGTGGAGAAAGCAGAGAGAGTCAAGTGGTGTATTTCTGTAACTTGCCAAAAGTGAAAGAGAAGAAGACTGAATTGTTGGCTGCAGCCAACCGCTTCGGAGTTGTGGAGAAGTACCTGTTTTTGAATGAGCAGGTATGCAACAGTTTTTTTTTATGTTTACTTTGCTTTTGAGTTTTGTAAAGAAAATAACAGTTCGATTTCTTTTTTTCCCCCTTTAGGCATTTGTGCAAATGAAAGACCCTGAAGACGCAAAGATGATGGTGAAATACTATACTTTACACCCTCTTCACATCAGAGGCCGAACTATCAGACTGAACATCTGTACAAAGTACAAGACCCTCACGTAAGGCCATTGCATCAGTATTTTGTTTGCAAAGAAAAATCTGCACGTTTATGTCATGCATTGCTTATATGACACTTCTGTATCTTGGTACACTCCTTCAGGAAGTTCTGCCAGTGGTACTTCAGATGTTCTGCAATGCCATTAACTAACACTAAAACTCTTACACTGCAAATATTTACAATCTGAGAAACAGTTTGAAATAGGAAATTGGACTCATCTGTGAAGAGTATGAAGTTGGTATGCCACATTAAACTGTGGCATATGTAAAAAGTGTCTCAATAACTTCTGACTCTTTCCAGATCAGATCAGCTTTTCACTGTATATTGACCCATGGTGATACCTAACTTAGACGCAAAGCTTGCTTGTGCTGACAGTTGTTGTATAGTAGAAATTTACATTTTTAGCCATTTGTATATATAGTATTCACTTTTGTGACAATTTGTCATGTAATCATTGTAACTTTCAGAATCACTTTTCAAGATTACACCACAACAAAAATAATAATCAATACCCTGGGTCAAAAAAAGAACCAGTTTGAGAATGAAAGTTAGTTTTGTTTAGGCTGTTTGCTTCAAGGAGAGTGATACACACTTGACCTATCACGGTCTTCTTTCCTGCAAACAAAGGAGTGAAAACATTTCTAGCCAGTTAACAAATGTACCCCGTCCCATCTATAACCTGATTATCTGAACTTTTAGGTCACACTCTGTCCTTGGCATAAGTCTGTCCAGAGCATTGCAGATTTCACTTTTGTGTTTCAGAGTGAATCCTTCCAAGAGTACTTCAGGGAAGCTGGAGAGAAGCAGCAGCAGCAGCATAGGGAGCAAAGACCTGTGTAAAAAGCCACAATCCACAACCAAGGAGAAGACCTCCAGAGATAAAGCTGCTTCTGCTGGAAAAAAGAAAGAGGAGCATGAAGCCAAACCCGAGGAAAATTCTGGAGACGAAGGGTCTGGGGTGATGGCAAGGGAAGGGGGTGCAGAGGGGATTGAGGTAGAAGAGGGAATGGAGGAAGACTCAGAGGAACTAGCTCAGGCCTTGGAGATGTCTGAAAGCCAAGAGGAGGAGCAGGAATCTGACACTTTGGTCCAAGAAGAACCAAACAAGGAGCCTACGGCAGAATTTGAAATCAAACCAGAAGAGCCAGAGGCCACGCCCCTGGACGTTTCTGAAACAACGGAGCCAGCTGAAAACGAGGAGCCCCAGGAGCCTGCTGAGATGAACGCGCTACCGGAGAAACCCACTGAAGGTTTGGAGGTTCCAGCAGAGGTAGTTCCAGAAGAGATGGGGGAGAGTGCAGAGGTACCAACAGAAGAGAGAGACAATGAAGAGGTAAGGCAATGTGTGAAGTCAACGGTTCTTGACCATGTTTCATTTTTGATTGTGGAAAAAGAATCGCTTCAAGAGAAGAGTCTTCAAAAGACTACATTTGTTTGTTGAAATAGTACATATTATGATTCCAGGAAGGGTTTCTGGAGCAGGATTTCCCAGAGAACATGGAGGATTTTGTTACTTTGGATGAGTTTGCAGATGAAGATTCGGCAGATCTTTCACAGCTTGTGTCAGAAACCGAAATGGACACTTCAAGTAAGTTTAGTTTCAGCCATTTCACCATTACTTTAATGTATTGCCATGTGCCTATTTCCAAATACCAAGTGATCCCTTCTTTAATAAACCTGAAATTGATTTAAAGGAACATTCATCCAGTGAACCATTTTGGCACTAGAATGCTATTCTAGGAAATGGAAATTGGTGAATATATTTTCTGCATATCTCTTGCTAAGTTTTATCTTTTGAAATTTTGAGTTGGCTTTCACGGAAATGAACTGCCTTTACACTTATTTATGCTGGACTTCTGTATTTTTTTTTACCCATTCGTAGACAAGTCTCCTTGTTGCATACTTAATTTTTCAATACCTTTTTTTTTCCTTTGTAGGAGATTCAAAGAGGGAATCCCAGGTGTGTATCTTTTTTTTTTTTCTCCGACAGCAGGTCACAATGCAATACAAAATAATAAAAAAAACATAATGGTTTGTAAATACTTATAGTTATCTCTGTGGAGATAACTAGAGTGGATTTAAAACCTCTTTAAATACTCAAGGTAATGTAACTGGCTAGCAGCAGCATTCCCTAAGTGGTGGCACACAATTGGCAGTGGGCTGCCCCAACTGGATTAATCTTTGTATGTTACCAGGTCTGCAGTGGTGTTGTGAAAGGTCAGTTGGTCAATGGTTGTGCAGGTTGGAAGAGCATGTCTGGCCATTGTCATTCAGTGTCATTGCCGTCAGATAAAGAATTCCAATGATTCCAAATTGTATGGGTTTAAATGATAAATGCACAAGTTCCACTTTCTTTCTGTAATGCTATCAAGAAATGTACATGTTCCATAGAAAATCCAACTTTTGGTAGAAGCTAGTGCATGCAATGAAAGTGAATGTTCATTGATTTAATCATGAATAAAAGTTTAATAATGAAACTGTCTCGATCTCCCTCTTGGCAGGAAGGGAAAGTTGTTAATGTTAGAGGATTTAAAAGAGGTTACAACTTCCTAACCGATATCCTGAAACTTGCCAAGCCTTTTGGGAAAGTTGTACAACATCTGGTACTGGACACCAGGCATGAGGTAGGGTTCAGAAAGACAAAGGACATGATCACAGTCATTTTGATTTTACCTTCCATCGTAAATGTACCACTTTTTTAGAGAAGGGTTCTGAGGCTTGCATCACAAGACTTTGCTTTTGTAGAGCTGAAAACGTTTTGAACCTTTCTGCCTTGATCAGCAGTTTTTTTTCTGTATGAAACAGGCGTTTTTGGAAATGGCAACACCTGAGGAGGCAAAAGCAATGGTCGAATTCTACAATACAAATGTCACGGCAATGGTGTGTGGAAAACCTGTGAATATACACCTCTCACACACCTATAAGACCATACAGGTATGTTCAGCGTGATGCAAAATAACATTTTAAGCAATAGAAGTACTTTGTTTTTGTAGCACAGAACGCCAATTTAAAAAAAGCACTTGAGGTAGAGAACAGCTCTTTTTAGACATTATAGCCACAGAAGAGCTATGTAATTTGTGTTGGTGCTTTTCAGTGGCATTTTTCCTAGAGGGCTTTAATCTAAACAGATGACAATGTATTATTTAACATGAAGATTTTTTCCCCTGTTGTACATATTCATTGTTCAACAAAATGCCAACTTTAACAACTAAAACCCTTTTGTCGTCTTTACTCAGTTTCAGGAGAAAACAAGTGGAAGAGTCATCTATATTGGACAGATCCCCTGGTTTAGGTTCACAGATGCCTCACTTTTAAAACTTGCTCAGCCTTTTGGAACTGTGAAGCGGTATCTTATTAATCGGAACCGTAAAGAGGTATTTAAAAATTTAATATGTTAAACAGTTAAACTGTGGTTTTAATTTAAGTATCTGGTGTCATTAATAAATACTTGGTAACAAATGTCTTGGCTTCCTGTTTCTGCATTTACACAACTGTATTAATTACCTTCTGCTTTGGGGTTTTACTAGTATCTGACTCATTATTCTCTTTCTACTTTTGGAACCATGATAAGAATCTGAAAAATTACAATCTGCATTTTGTGTACTCTCAATAGACACATTTCCAGCATAAATAGTAGAAACATTTTTCACATTGTGCATAGGGTTCTGTATTTTTAGGGATTGTGTAACCCATCATTTAAACTTACTTTTGATCATTTTTAAGTTCAGTGCATTAAAAATAATTGTAAAATGAGATGAGCTTCTTGTCATTTAACATCTTCTGAGTCGCTTTCAGATTTAACCTTATCAATCTTTCAGTAAGGCTAGAGTTTCTAGCTAATCACTGTTCCCAGAGCACAAAACAGAGATCCCAACAATTATGTTTAACACATGAATTTCAAGTATATAGTAGTTAAACTGTTGTTTGAAATATTGGCAGTTGTTTGTGTTAATCAACCACATTACTCAAAGACCACTAGGGGGTCACTTTTTAATAAAGGTTTAATTTTTTAGTGTAAGTTGCATAGTAAATTAGGGTAAGGTAATTTTTAGTCTTTAGGAATCAATTACAAGAATTTCACAGAATTCCTAGTTTAAATTGATCCTTGTAAAGTTATACTAATATGAGATTTTACAAATCATTTTGTTTCTTCTTAGTGTTTCATTGAAATGGCAGAACCTGAACAGGCAGAGAAAATGGCACAGGCTTACAAAGACAACCCACCTAAATTTGGAGGCAAATGGCTGACTGTGTATGTGAGCAAAAAATATAAAACACTTCGAGGGTAGGTATTTGTTTTTCCCGTTCTCTACTCTTAACTGCTTTTAAATTGATTGTGGTTATAATCACACTTAGAGGTACCTGAGGTATTGGGCATGTTATCTTTATCAGAGAAGCCTTTCACATTCTAGGGGTTAGGAGATTGTAAAGGTGGTTAATACAGTTTCCTTCTCTGCACATTTGTGACAATGGGGATGACATGCATACTGTGAGTTTAGTTTCACCCATGTGCTTTTCATTATTCAGCTCAACTTTCATGTATGACACTAGAAGAATGAGAGATGGTGACGGCTGTGCAGTTTCAGGTGTTCTTACTCACTGTATCATAGTTTGCTCTTAAAACTGGTCTTTTTTTTTTCCCCCCCAGACGTAAGCCCTCTCCTTCCGACGCTGAAGAGGAAAGGAAACCCAAGAGAGAGCGGACAGAGAGCACCAAGAGTGAGGAGGATGCGCCTGGCAGCTCGGAGTCTAAAGCCAAGGCTACAGAAGAGGGCCCCCCAGTGAAGAAGCTCTGCACTCGAGAGGAGAGAGGCTCGCCAGAGAAGCCGGACGGCAAAGAGCTGCTGGAGGAGTCTGCCACGAAGAGTGAGCAGGGAGATGCTGCGGATGTGAAGAGCAGCGACTCGGAAGAGAAGAACAGTGAATCTCCAGACACTGCAGAATGCCAGAAAAGTGCTGAAGAGGTGAGCAGACAGGATCTGATATTCCGTCCAAAGCAACAGGCTGCACTGGTGTAAGAGTCTGAGGATCGCTCTCTCGCGCTCCGGTTCCCTCCTTGTCCTCTTTCTGTGCTGCTCTAGAAGTGATGAAGATTGTAAGCACTCTTACAAAGCAGTTAACTATTGGATGTAAAAAAATCCCTTTTGATCCTCACTTGACTGGCTTTGTAAGCTCAGCCGCAACAGTTCAGTTTCTATCCAGATTTAAGAACTTCGAAATGTGAACTTTCATTTGCTTTGAAGACCACTGTAACAATATTTAAATATTTATGATCAATAAATGGTAGCATTTTTCTTGTTTTCTGTGATAGACCAACTGAGCTCTACAGGAATTCTGTAATAAATCCATGTCTTTCAGGAGCCCAGTAGTGATGATGCAGGTGGAGCTGCATCTTCCAATGGAGAGACTACCCAGGTCTGTGATAAAGAGGAGACTCCTCAGACTAAACCACGGCCTGAGAGTAAGCCAGAGCTGACACCTGTCCCTCTAGGGCCATACCAGCCCAACAATCCTGTAGGTAAGCAACTGCGGAGGATTTTTTTTTTTGGTTGATTCAGCTCCTGGATTAAAATGGTTTTATAAGACAGTAGGTTTTGTTTTTCAGTTGGTTTTTGATCATTTTTCAGGTGTGGAGTATGTGAAGATGGGGTACTATTGCAGAGTCTGCTTCCTGTTCTACTCCAATGAGGAAACTGCAAAGAAAGTTCACTGCAGTAGCCTGTCTCATTATCAGAAACTGAAGGTATGTTGCGATTAGATCATCTGTGATTTATGCTGGCCCTGTTTAAAGTGGATTTGCTCAGAAAAACAGCAAATCTCTAAAATACAAGAGCTTTGTCTTTCTGCAGGGTACCTAATTCAAGTGGTAGGTTAAGTGGGTCCCCTCATATGTAAAATGCCTTGAGCTCTTTTGAATTAAAAATACAGTAGAAATATAAATTATGTATGTTGATTATTATGATTTGAATTAGTTTTAAATCTACATCAATGTATTGATACCAGCAGTCGTCATAAATATCAATAAGTCTGTTTTAATGGGGGGATATTTCAGTAGGATCAGGTGGCTCTAGATTTCGGCACTTTTAACTCCGGGTTAATCTTTGCTGCTGGAATTGGTGTTATAATGACCTGTTTCCACTTCTTGCATGACTTTTTGAAGCCTTGTGGGTCCCAGTTTCCAGTCTTATTAATAAGGTTTATTGGCTTTTTTTTAATTCACCAATCGTTATCTAATTCTGGTAACCCTTCCAGGCAGTCTTGCTAGAACCGAAAAGTCCTCCAGTTTAAGTGCTCATTATGAATTGAATCAGTGTAAAATACACTTGCAGTCAGTTATGGGTCAGAAACGTTAACTTTATACAAAGACTATGAAATACTGCAACAAGAATAGCCTGAAAGTGCTGTTCTGCAAATCTTAATTTAATTTTTTTTTATTTAATTAATTTTGTAATGGAATAACTCTAGGATTGTTAGCCCTTTTTTGTTTTAAGCAATATTTTCAGCAACTTTTACGTGACATGAACAATTAAGCTGCCTACAGGAACCCATCTATGTTTTCTGGTGTTTAGGTCTCAAAGTGCACCAAGTCAAAGCATTTGGCCAATGTAAAGAACAAGTATATTTCTGGCCCTTATTATTATGATTAATACACTCTGATGAAGATAAATAATTACCTTCTTGTGCCAATTTGTTTTTTGTATTTTTTTTCAGAAACACCTGGATAAAGAGAGAGCCAATAATTCCCAATGAGATTTAAGTGTTAAAAATTGATCCTATTTTCAGCCTATAACATACTCAAGTGTGAAAGATCCATGCAAGAACAAAGTATTAGCTTTCTTGAGGAAAATTCCTATTTTATACATTGATTTCTTATGGTTGTAATAGTTTTAATGTTGCATGTGCTTAAAAGGATCCAGTTTTATTTTCATTTATTTTTTGACAATTCCCCAGTGCATTGATACATTGGAAAAGATGCAATGTCCTAATTTGCTTAAAGAAAAACTGTAAAACTTCTCTTTGGATTCTCAGTATACCAGTGGGAAAAGTACGGCATCTTTAAATGTTTCTTTTTTCAGGTTAGATTTTTATAATGTTTTCTCTCATGTTATTTTCTTTTTCCATAGATTTGATCCATTTCTGTAAGCATCACAATAAATGCTTCAGTTGCACAGTGAAGTTTTGTCTGTGCTTCTCAGTGTGCATAAGTAGTTGATTTCTAATGTATTACAAACCACACGTTGTCAGAAGGGTCATTAATTTTTCTCAACACCAGTGATTTAAAAAAATAAACTACAGTGAAACTAAGAATTGATTGAGGTTTTGTTTCTGATTTAAATATATGCTAAAGATTTTGTTCTGTCAGAAATGGTCAAGAAGTTAAATGGACTGCTACAAGGTATTACTTCTTAGCCATACAAATTAGACCATGTAAGATGAAATTGGTGATAATGCAAAAATAAGACTTAAGTCTTCAGTAGGTAAACAATTTTCTACAATTTTAAACTGATTTATTGTATCTTAAATCTAAGCAATACATTTATGGTCTGTAGTCTGAAAAATTCTACTGTATAAGGACTGTTTTGGAGTCAACCACAGGTAGTCCTCGATTTAAGACAGGGTTAGGTTCCAAAGACCCCATCATGTCGATTTCGTCGCAGTCGAAGATCGCGTGTATCGCGATTCTACACGAGCCATATGGATGTGTAAAGAAGTAACATCCATAAATGCTACATTGTGTAATACACTTTTGTTATATTTTTTTTGCCAGTTTCGCTCTTTACTCATGATAAAATACAATGTAGATATTATAAAATGAAATACACTAAAAGTAATCAATAATGGAAAAAAGTGGTGCCTTGAACTTGCCAATAATGTAGTCAGCTGAATGCACACTGGGCCCAAACACTTTTTTTACTTGCTAGCCATTTGCTTGCTAACCACCCAATCAATAACATGTGGCAGCATGGTGTCGCGCAGGCTGATGACGTCATCAATGTTGGACGTTACGACCAAACGCTGGGACACAAAATACGTACTGTACAGTAATACGATTAAGGGGATGGCCATCATAAGTTCGAGGGGTCGTAAGTCGCATACATCATAAATCGAGGACTACCTATATTATTCTTGGCATAGTTTAAAGTACTATAAAGCTCAGTTAAGAAAACAAGCTGTTAGCAATGTTAAACTGATTTGTAAAAGCAAATCAAAATAGTCACATGGGTGAAAATAAACATTTTTAAGAGAAACACTTATTTATGTCTATATCATTTCTGATGAATTGGAGAGAAGTTGCAATTCAGTATTCCATGAAACCATTGTTTCTTCCACATTGTGTTTTCTTGACAGCAAGCTATGTCCGAAGTCCAAGAAACACATTAAAATAGTACTTGATTCCCTCCATAGGTTTGAGCTTCAGTCTCATCCTGTGAAATTGAGGACTGTTTGTGAAACCTCCAATTTATCTTCCCATTATTTTTCATGTACAAAAGCTTCTTCAGATACTGGATTTGGTGCTCTGGGTTTTTAAAAATTCCAGGCACTGAAGTTTTGTCGAATGGGTGGACCTTTAACGGCCCTTAGACTTGACAAATATGGAGGATCTTACAAAACTGATAATGGCCTCATGGACACAAAGATACCTGCCTAGCTCATGGATCAAACGTTGAGTTGTTCTAAAAAGGGAAATAGTTTAATTTTCCATGATTACAAAGAGTTACTGGAGTTTCCGAAGAGCCAAGCAGGCTGCACAACACCAAAAAAGGCACTCTATGGATTTTGCGAAAAACAGTTTTGAAAGGCCCACTTGCAGAAACCATGTGTACATATTTTAAAAAAATGCTTTGTATTATCTGCACACTACAAAAGGAAGAAGAAGCTTTAATTTCACAATTACCAGAGGTTGAGTGATGTCAATTTTTATTAAGATATAAAATATCACCGACAGCTGGTTTCTGTCTGAAATGCAATAATTTAATTTTAACAGAGTTTATAAGTAGTTATTGTTCATGGTTACTTGCATTTTCTAGCCTAAACCTGATCCATACGTTTTACAAACTGACAGGATTCATTTAAGTTTATTTAGATGTTACGACACTTCAGATTCAAGCGATTTGGTCATTAAAGACCCAATGGTATGGCTTATTTATAAGAGCAGGAGTGTCCTGGAAAAGTTCAATTCTACACTTCCATAATATTGCCTTCCTAAATTCCCCCTTTAAGTACCAAAAGCTTCACTTATCTTCTCCGTCTGATCTACTGTGTAGCGGGACTGCTGCACATTACTTAAGTAGATGTTGCCCTGAAGTGGTGGATCTGATCCAAAACTAAATGTAATGTACAGTGGGATCCTTGAGAATAAAAACTATTATGTGAAACTCTAATTAATAATGAAATATATTCATTATTTGTGAGGAATTGTCCACTCCAATTTGTGACCTTTGTGTTAGGAAGATAACTCATCTTTTGTACATTAATCTCATGCTGTGCTGTTGACAACGCATCCTTAGTGCACGACTTCAAAACTCAAGTCCAGGATACCTAATAAGAAATCAAACAGATCCTGAGTACTAGCTTATTAAAGATCATAGAATATATGTTTTTTAACCCTAGTGTCCAACCTAAATTATACTTTGGCTTGTTCACTCTGTTTAACAATTAAATGTTAATTTTCAGAAGCAAATCCAGCTCTAGTTATTCTAAAGATCCAGATGTGAAACCAGATCTTAGTGTTATAGTGATGCAATGCGATGAAAAAATCACCTACCTAGAGAAATTCCTCCTGTGCTGTTGTAAATGAACATTTATTTTTAATTTTACATTAGTAATGACACTTACACAGGGCAAAATGGAAATAAATTAACAGTAATACCAAAATTAGGTTGGGGGAAGGGGTAATGAATTGTTTTCTGCTCTACTATTCTTATAGAAAAGGGCCTCCAATTTAGCAAAGTGTAATAGATGTGTTTTCCCCACATTTGAAAGCTGGATATACTGGTTCACTGAAAGTTGTTTTGAATGTATATAAGTGTAGCAAGGTATTGGCTGTGTGGTAGAAAGCAAGTGTCCCAGCCTCATAATCCAAATTAACCCTGATACAAGGAGGGCTATCGATCTGGGCCACATTGGTGCAGATGTTGTGGTGCCAAGCTTTAATGTCTCCCTTGATGTAACTGATGCACCAGGACATGCTGTTGTGCCCTAAAAAGGAAGGCAGAAGTTTTTTCCTGTCCAGGCTCCGGTAAGCAATTCCAATCTTGAATGAGTCGCCACTCACACACACATCCCACGTGTGGGTTCCAGAGTGAAAGAAATTGGTGCAAAGGACCTGCGGATCGAAGCTGAATCTTTCCTGATGCGGAGGATAAGCCTGTCTGGAGTCTGACCAGCTCACAGTCTTCTGATCCTCTGATACAATTAAGTTAGGATGGGTGGTGTTCACATCAAAGGTCAAGCTCTGACGAACTAAAAAAATAGTAAAAACATGTTGATGTTATAGCATATCACAGAAAATGTCCATAAAAAGTAGATTTTGTACAGGTTTTCTTAATAAAGGTTATTACTACTATTTTTGATGATAAAATATTAATAAGTCAATTCATCCTATCAGTACAGAGGGATGATGAGGATATGACTGTTTCCTCACATGAGTTTCAGAACAGGTAATTGCTGACTTTACTTTTTTTTTAAGGATTGTGAACTTTAAAACACTACTGCACTAATAAAGCATATTTGGCATTAGTCAAAGGCATAGTGATGGATTCAGCACGTTGCTCAATTGTTATTAATGTCTAACAATTTCAGATCAAAAATGTGAAGAAAGCTGAATGTCTAGCAGATGAAGGATTTTATTTTACTAAACTAAAATGACTAAAATAAACTGAAATAAGATTGGAGTACTAAGTACTACATGACTTGAGAAAATATAGGATCTACAAAGCTGATGAAGAAGCAGCAGACTGAAGTAGCATAAGCAGAGATGTAATTGAAGCCAAATTAAAAAAGGGTCAGATAGTACAATTGTCACCCCTGAGGTTGGCCATGAACTAGCTGTGGCCAGTGACGCTTTAAATGAACTTATGAGAGCTATACAGAAGTAAAAAGAATTACCACATGGTAGTGTGAGACATGCCCAATTTTTTGGGATGGTAAATCAATTAAAACAAATTAAGCCTGGGCAAATAAGTACAACTACTTTGTTTCACCTAACCTGTGTATTTTAAGGTAAATGTTTTTAAAAGTTTGTAATTTTCCATGTACAGTATAATTAATTTTACTGCAAAATTTAAATACATATATAATTCTATCTATTTCATTCTATAGTTATGGTATATCTTAAGTTCAATGATTTTTTATCAAGGGTGTGAAAACATTCTGTGAACCAAGTGGATACAGCTGCAGTAAAGGTTAAGAACCGCTGATATAAACTCTTTGCTTCTGAGTGTCAGGAAATAATTATTGGCTGTTTAAGGTATATTACACATAGAAATATTAATGATAAAGACATGAAAATACGTTTTTTTTTACTCAGTATGTTCCATGTTGCAGTTTGGTACATCTGGGTCTCGTGTAACCTCTCCTTCAGGATTTTTAGTACTTTATCTTCGTCCAAAGTAACATCAGTGGGTTGGGGCTCCAGAATATCCATTTTCTTTTTATCTCTACCACAGAAAAAAATGAAAGTATTTCCACTATACCCTTTCCATAAGTCTGAAGTTTCCATGTTGTCATTTGGTAGTATTGGTTTCAGGTTTAGGACCAAAGATGAAATCAGAATTGTAGTTTGCCCCCTTTTTTGTTGTCAGTTTTGAATGCATGCTCATGAATGAAATACATAAATACAGTGATGTGAAAAAGACAGTTAACCCCCCGAGGATTCTGTGGTTTTACATATTAAAATATATCAAACCTTCATCTAGTCCTCACCATGTCCAACAGTAGATAACTAACCTCATGTGACAGATAACCATTTCCTGAGTGATTGTTCTGGCTAGCCACTACCTCCAACCCCATGCTTTACTTAATGTTATGAACTCAAGTGAGAAAACCCATTTGTGATTATATACTGTAGAAAATCCTTTCTAATTGCGTTTAAAGTGTGACCAAACACCTTAAAATATTTCAGCCCAGAACTACAACAGTTTTGCATTTATCCTGTTTTGCTTGGTAAGTTACGATATCTTTAGATTACGTATCCATTCACTTTTAAAAGACAATAAGACTTGGCTTACCTAGACGTTGATTGATGAGTGGCCTACAATGGGGGAAAAAAGTATCTTGTTTAATTGTTTACAATTAATTTTTTAAACAATTGTTTAAATGAAGAAGTCATCCCAAACTTCATTGAGCGTGATTATTTTTGTCTTTGATATCTACAACCATACCAAAAGGATAAACTGCCACTATTAAATAAGGAATATACTAATTGAAACAGATATAGGTTGAATTTTTTAATGATCCTTAGTGATATTTGAATATATATATATAGATTGCCCTGTGCATGCCATTTTGCTGCCATTTTTGATCATGTCCAGAAAAATGATGATATATTTGCACAGAATTTAAAACTACATGAAATAAGAGTTGAGGAGGAGCCATCTTTAAATGTTTTGTTTTATATTATTTGGTATATTTGGTGAAAGACCTGAATGCTGAGGGGTCTTCGTGTTTGTCTGTAAGAGGTATACTATATGTACAAAAGAAATAGTTAATTTTGATGAATATCCCAGACTAAATTTGTGACTTCCTTTCTTAAAAAAAGAACAGAATTTTTTGGGGCAGAAGTGCAGTTAATGGTAGTGGGTTCAAGCGTTGGATGGGATGCTGCTGTAGTAGCCTTCCACAAGATACATTACTCAGATTGCACAAAACAGGCTCTCTCCAGTTAATCATTTAAACTGAGACTGTCTTCTCAGTTGACCTACTGTATCTCATTAAATAGGGAGTTGCTTGCACCTGGATGAGGGAAAATGGGTCTCTGTTCATCATATCCTGCGTGTCATCCAGTCGCAGCTTCATGCTCTGTGCTGTTCCCTCGATCTCCTGGCAGTGCTGTTCAATCCTGGCCACCACCTCACTCCCCTCCGAATCAATCTGCCTCAGCATGTACAGCTCATCCTCCTTCATTCGTTTCTGGAGCTCCATGAACATGTGGGACGTGAGCTTTTTCAAGTTCTCAATGGACACCTGTGAAGTCAAACAACCTTGGATTAACAGCCATGCTCGCTACAAAGTGGCTAGGTTTGAAGTTTAATGTTAATATCAGGCTTAAGGTTTTAACCCTGGGGCCTGCCGATAATTTGACTGTGGATTACACAAAGAAGTTACCAATTATTTTTTCTCTTTTTCTTTGCAATCCATAGATAAAGTCAAAATCAACACATGGATCTTGGGTCAAGTCATAAATTGAAGTGCAGTTTAAATACAAAGGTCCTTATTACCATGCTTGTAATAGGATCTTTGACTGTATTTTATAGGCCCTCTGTTAAAGAAAATGTGTTGCAGTGTATCTCATCAGGAAGTGATTATATGTCAGAGTAAGGAAATCCCTATTTATAGCCATCATGTTCTGTATCAGCTTACAAGCTAATTCTTATCTTCTCTGTCTTCTTTCTATGGCTGCACCAGTATTTGTTTTGCTCTCCCTCTCATTTTAAAATTGGAAATTCGACTCCCCATTTTTGTTTTAACAGAAACTTGTAATAACTGGTGCCGTATTTGCCCGGCAACCATTTTTCTGTAAATAAAACAGGACAGCTTTCTTATTTACCACACAATACATGATTGATTGTGCTGTGTTATGTTGCCATGGTGAAAGGCTCAGGATTGATGAATTATAGGGAAGAATTCAATGAGAGTTATCCGGATGCCATTATCAGTATTTGTAGGATACCTATCGGGAAATATTCTGTTTTGGCATGAGGTTTCATTAATGGGCAAACAACAGTTGCCCTCAATCCAAGCACAAAGATAACCTCAGTAAAAAATATTTATGTAATTAAATGAATGTCTTTAAAAACCATTCTCCAACAGACCTTTGTTTTCTCTTTCATTTTGCTTGAGATGAAAATAAATCTTTGGATTTACAAACTGATTTTTGATCTACAAAGTCTTTGCTTTCATTGAAAAATACCTTTAAATCAGCTTCCGCCCTTTTCAGGAACAGCTTCACTCTGCTGACATTAAACAAGTTTTCGTGAATCCCTGATATCTCCTCCTTCAGTTCTTCCTGTAAAAAAAATCCACAGGCCACGATGTTACACGGTCCTTCAGGTTATCCATAATCTGATGGCAGCACAAATTATTCCACAGAAGTAAAAAAAAAAATGAGTAAAGCACATATGAACATTCATGTCAAAATATCATTAAATCAATTTAGAGTATCAACAGTATATCAAAGAAGGTTAACAAACCACCACTCAGCCTTGTGATGGAGGGAGTCACATAGAGAGGGGAATGCAGTACAAAGGCAAAGCAGATAATACTAGGATTCTACAGATCAAGAATGAGCGATCACAAATTGATGACTTACATTAGCTGCCTCCTCTAGGGAGATTACAGTATGATTCCTGTGGTTCCCAAGGACAGTGCAGGACACACAGACACAGCACTGGTCTTCTCTACAGTAGAACTCCAGGGTCTTCCCATGCTCAGAACACTTCCTTTCCAAGAAGGAGCCAATGGGGTTCACAAGCTTGTGCTCTTTCGGGTCAAGCTTAGTGATGTGTGTCTGTAGGTGGAAGGAACAGAAGGACGTTTCGCACTTCAGACAGGTCTTGATGGCGCGGGAGGACACGTCCATGCAGAAATCACAAAGGACACCGGGAACCAAGACGTCAGGCTGAGACCTGCGCACCCAGAGTTTCTCCACAATGTTGCAGAGGGTGAAGTTCTTCTCCAGGCTGGGTGGACTGGGAAAGGCACAGCGGCACTGAGGGCAGTCGTACACGTCCTTATTATCCTTGTTGACCCAGTAATCTTGGATACACCTGAGACAGAAGCTGTGCTGGCAGGGCAAAACTGCAGGCTCTTTGTAAAGGCCCAGACATATCACACAGGTTAGCTCCTCTTCAAGACACTTGGATTCCATGCTACAGCTCAACAGCAGCCACAATCTGAACAGGAACAAACACAAAGCATAGAAGCATGATAAGCACCCAAGCTGGAGGGGCTGGAACTAATCTCACCACGCCTACTAGAGGCAGTGTCTTTTAACAACAACAAGCTAATTTAGTGCTTATTCTTTCCATGAAATGTCTTTAGCATTCTAAATCCAGATATTTCACAATCACCTTTCAGTTTCAAAATTCTATTGTCACAAATCCTTTTCAGCAGTGTTTATGCTTTCTTTATGAAGCCTAACAATGTTATGTCCGGATCTTTGATCTTAAAGCTGTGTAAGTCCTATTTATACCCCTTGGAAACAACTCAACTGGATTACTAGTTGTGCGGGTTTTCAGAGCTCCAGTAATACTCTCCTAGAGCACCTCAGGAATCTTCACACCCATTACTGTTTTCCTGTTGGTCTCATGTATTGTGTTCCAGATTTTTTTTTTCTGGAATGAATACTGTTGCGTCACTATTGAAAGATAAAAAGTTACAGAAGTAGAATGAACACTATAATTTCAAAGGAACGAGTAATAGGTTTATTCCATGCTGAAAAGAGAAGAAAGAAAACAAAACGTTTCAGCTGTGGAGCCATACAGGTGCAATCTATAGTATAATTTAAAACACTTCATCTTAGCAAAGAACTGGATGGGTGTTACTATAGTATGTTTGGGGTATGAAACCTTTATCTTGAACATATTTTCTTTTAGGAGACCACTATGTTATTATAAATTTGTTGAAATGGCAGCTTCATGGAATATGAAGAAATATCCCTTTACTTAAAGTCATATAATGTAGACACTAGAAAAGAAAAACCTTGTTAGGGTTAATGATCCAAACACTGAGATGAGAAATGTTGGAGGCTGTGATACAACACCCTTTTATTTCATTACATTTCATATTTATTTCATGTTACAAATACTTGGCGTCATGTAAATCTAATAGTGCTGTTACAACAATCAGCATCACAATGAGGGCAGATCTGCGCGGACATGTTTGTATAAAGTCTAATGTATAATGTAAAGTATTGTTGATGCCAACAGTCATCAACGCTTCTCATTAGCCTTACTTATATCGATTTGGGGTTGCTTCTTTAGGGACACAATTTATTTTTAAAACTAATACTAGTGTAACACTAATGTAAGTTTAAGAATCAGTATGGTATCCGAGAAGGGTTTGGGGAATTCTTAATGGGAAATTAACAATCGTCCCATGAGCGCTGAATAATAATTAATTCACAACTACTTCAAAGACAATTGCAAGCATCCTTACTTTAAACATGTTTTATAGTTAACAATATTCCACGTTAGTGCCAATAAACTAAATAGCCTTTTCTGCTCAATACATAAAACAGATCTAGATTCACTGCCAATTAATTTAAGATTAAATTAAATAAATGCAACATCCCGGCAGATCCTGTTTTTTCTGGTGAGCTCATAAAAGGGGGGCGGCGTCTACCCTCTCTTGACGTTGCGCGGTGTGCAGCAGTGTTACCAAAACAAAGAAGCAGAGCGGCCATTAGACCTGAAATCAATACAAGCTGACTGTCCAAGGAGCTCCGGGCGTCTTGCACCTTGTCAGACTGCAGCATTTAATTGTTCCCCTCATCACTTAAGCGTTGTCGGTAGGAAACGTTTTCCCCTTTTTGTGCGTCTCGTTCTTCCTCCGGATTTATAAAAAAAAACTAAACTCGGTGGAACTGTGCGTTTGCGCTTGATAACTTAGTCAAGATGGCAGAACTGGTGGTGCTGCACAAGAGACAAGAGGTTCGGGCTGTCGTGTTTGTCCGCGGCATGCAGCACTTGCTAAATCTTCGCATTTGGCTTTTGCGTGGCTTCTGCGTTTGCAGTTGTCCTGTTATCCTGTACTGGCTTGTATACTCGGTCCGTTTTGGTGCTTTTGACCACGCTTTTGACTTTTCGAGAGACAGGTTTTGTGTTGGTCTGTGGTAAACATCCGGGAGTCAAGTCTCCGCCCTCCTGATTATTTAAGAAAAACCATTTGTAGTATAAAAATGCTTTCTTGAAGTATCATAGAAAGATTTCAGACGAATAACGTCGATTTGAAATGTTAATTTGCGTTGTTTCGTATTGCAAAGGGTTTCCTGTCATTCATATATCCCACGTAAATGTTCTGTTAACATGATACGATGTTCTTTCTACAAAGTCAGGCACCTGTGCGCGATGGTTTGAGTTTAGAAGACTCTCGTACCTTAAAACTTAAGACCAAGCAGGTTTTACGCGTTTTTTTCCTGATAAAGCATTGTTCCCCATTTCTCCTTGATTGAAATAAGTGTTCCTAATTGCTATGATTATTGGCTAGTTGTAAGTTTTCTACAATCACTTGCACCGGATATTTGTCTTCAGCGCTGCGTACAAACATCTACGAGTGCTGTTTTAATTGCATTGATTGTATAGGCCTTACTATTTATCGTAAGATATTCATTCAACCTGGTTAATTTATACCGGCTGAGAGTACAGCTGTCAAACTTGTACATTTAGTACACATAATTTAAACTATACATCAGATGTACTTAAATCAGTGCGCTAAAGGTTTATTCGTTTGAAGTGGACGACAGTGCAATATTGTAAAAAGTGTTTTGAGGTTTGAAACGGTCTGTAGACCAACAGCTTTTCAGAGATTTGTAAATGGCGTAACATTTCATTTTGCTATAACATTGTCTGGGAAGCATCTATACTTCTCTTGAAGTTTTATTACTTAAATATGTCCCTTACGCTCTCGCCAAAAAAAAAACTAGAATGAAGATGGTTTGCTGGCTTCATAATGAATGTAAATTGCTGCTATCCTATTTGAGGTGGTGTAAAACTGACTTTTTCTCCCTACGTTTTTTTTTTTGCAGACTTATGAATCATTTGGAACAGTGTAGGACATTATCACATACATCATAAAAAAATAAGTGACTGGACTAGTGGTGGAAGGAGGGTGTGTGCATTGCAAAGCAGATGAAAATTTAAATTACCTACACCTCTCAATACTACATAAATGTATCGTTGTAGTTCATTTTAGGAATGTGCAAATCTATTCCAGGGAAGAAATGATAAATCAGTTTAGAGGGTTAATTGTTACCAGCTAGACTTAATTGATGTGAGGACCTCTACCAGCACTTTTTATGAAATAAGATGTTGACTTCAGATTAGTTTTTTTTCCCCCCACAACTTCCACAACTCAAGAATTGCCCCTTGTCCCTGGTTCTGAATGCACTTCCCCTTAGTTTCTGATTATGTTGTGGGACTGTATCTGCTATAGATTCCAGCAGGCTAGTGGGGCACTTAAATATGGGCAAAATCATGTCCTCTGGTCTGTTAGTCATTGCTTATTTGTGATGAATTGGGTGGGGGTTGTCCCCTACATTGCCATTTACTGAAAAATACTGCTGCAGTAGCCCATTAAATGCAAGGGTTTCAATGATCATTCAGTCTCATTTGGTACATTTAACTCTCTAAGTATTCCTTTTGTACTTTGTACATCTGTTGTATTCAGAGTTGAATTGACTGCCACTTTACACTTGAGGATGTGCTGTTAGTGGTTTAAAGTTTATCAGTATTGTGTGCTATATTATAAGGGAAGCATTAGGGGGTCTATTGGTAAAACTGTCTAAAATATTAAACTGTTCACTTATAGTTGCCCCCCTCCTGGGGTTAAAGTGTGTGTGGGAAGTTGATTTGTTTCCATGACATGTTTGAATTTAACCAGTGGGCACAACGAGCATGTCTTGGGAGCATTTGACAGCCATTCCCACTTATCTGCATATTATTAATTGATTAAGATATGTTTAGAAGACTATAGGTGAGTAACAGTTTTAAACCCAGTTAAAACGCCATTGTGGTCAGTATATTTCTGTGAAATTATGCCTCTGAAGGAGATTTGTTCTGGCAGCACAAATGGATTAAAAATGTAATTGATGAATCAGTTGGAATGAAAACCAGAGGAGATTGGTGGGTACTCCAGGATTAGTTTCAATTATCCTTTCCTAATATGGGATACCCAGTTCAGTTTATATATATATACATACTGTCTTTGCTTCTCACTATAGAATGATTCATTTTATATAGGCTAAAATCTGCGCTGAGGTGGTTTTAATGACCAAAACCTACGAAGCATAACATTTTAGTCATTGAGGCCGTGGATGAACAGTGATCTTGTATTATAATAATGTGTGTTTCTTGTTTTTAAAGGGCAACAATGAAAGACCCCAGCCGCAGCAGCAACATGCCAAGCATCGTCAATGATGATGTGATCATCAATGGACAGTCCCACGAAGATGACAACCCCTTTGCTGAGTATATGTGGATGGAGAATGAAGAGGAGTTTAATAGACAGGTACAGTTGAATCGGGCTTGTTTCAGCACCCCTAGCTTAATGACCAATGATTCCTGGGTCATTTTTGTTCGGTTATTGCTATATAAAGTGAATTAAGTGATTCCTTAAAAAGAAAAAAGGTGCATGCGTTTCATTTTATGACCACCTGGTAAAAAGTAGGTTTGCGGTGATAACAAAATTTCTTCAAGCTGTTAAGTGAACAGCACTTAAAAGATATGTTTGGAAGTAATGGGTTATTAGGGATGTTATATGAAAATTATGGTTCTGTTGTAATTGGTTAAAAGGTTTTTTCTTGCATTTCCCGTTATCCTGACTTTATTTTTGGTACTTTCATTATTATACATCAAGGTATATACAGTAGGTAGTGAACAAAAAGATGGAAATGCCAAGGCAAAATCATGGGCATTGGGTCGATGTGTGGGGCTGGTATTGTCTGTATGCTCTGTGGCATGGTCTAACAGCAGGCAATCAGTCAACTCGCAATTGCAATAGAAGCGGAAAATGCTGTCTTGGGTGTTTCAAAATATCCCAGAAATGTGTCCTCATGATGTGATGGGGGCATTAGGGTTTGTCACCCTAAAAGAAAATGTGCCTAAGAGTGTTGCATAACTACCAGAGCCCTTCACTGTTGTAAATAGCCCGTCAAGGCTGTAGAGTTCTTTAGGTTGTTGCTACACATCTGACCATATTGCATTTCTCCATTGTTGGTGTTCTTTGCACCCTGAACCCGCAAACGTGCACTGACAGGTGTGATAAGTGATCTGTGCAGTGCAGCCTGAGAAGGGTATCCCACCTCTGGAGTTCTCGGCGGATGGTTTCCCAATCACGTGTTTTTCCAAAGTCTGTTTTCTGGCAGCCAGGACTGTGCAGCATCAATCAATGCGTGAGCGACGCGTATGAGGAAGCCCTCGCTTAAAAATATCCTTGGAGTTCCTCATTTACATGCCTGAAACTAGATGATAGCCATGTTGAAGCCATGGCTTCTTGATCAAAAAATAACTTAATGGGATCCTTGGATCAATTAAATACTAACTACCATATGAGTTAGTGGGGCCTTTTCTCATCTGTATCTTCTCATGTTATAGTAGAATGTGGAACCTCTCTTTATTCTAAGCTGAGGAATTCCTCGGGGACTGTAGCTGTTCAGCTTCTCATGCGGTGCCTTTTTTCCAGATTGAAGAGGAACTCTGGGAGGAGGAGTTTATTGAGCGTTGCTTCCAAGAGATGCTGGAAGAAGAAGAGGAGCATGAGTGGTTCATTCCAGCCAGAGACCTGCCCCAGACTATCAATCAACTTCAGGACCAGCTGAATGGATTGGTCATTGGTGATGGGAGTGTTTTGGAAGACCTTGTGGTTAGTACACATGTTAATATCTCACTGGTTCTTGAAGATCGTGTCAATTGCAGTGAAGTAAAATTTTAACATCTCCTATGGGTTTCACTTTTAGATGCATCTCTTAAAACCTGTACTAGAAATCATTCATTATATATGAAGAAAACTTTCACAAGAGTCTAATCCTATGTTTTTTTCTCTTTACAGGTCAACAGTAATTTAAACCCAAATGCAAAAGAATTTGTACCTGGCGTTAAGTACTGAATCTGGGCCTCTTGGTGGATGTAGCACAACCTCCACACTGTGAAGCCAGTATTAGATTAATTGTGGAAGCTTCTCTTTGTCACTGTGTTACACTTAATGCATTGCCAAAGTTTTCAGTTAGTCTTGCATGCTTAATTAAAGTGCTGAGACTGTTATATGAAGCAAAAGCTTTTCTTAGCTGAAAGTCCTGATTTTGGCGGGGGGGGGGTATTGCAAGCCCAGAGGAAGAGGCACCAGTCAAAGATGGTGGTATGTCTGCAAATTGTTGGGAGTTTTGTTTTGTCATTGTTGCCTTAATGTAAACATTCGAAAATCATATGTTAGTCTTTAAAAGGATTTTGGTGTGAATTTTTTTTATTTCCGAAGCATTCAAATTTCTGTTAATAATGAAAGCATCTTTCTATTTTTTTTTTAAGGCTGCAATAGAATGACTTATTTTTAGTGCAGAGTATTTTTATGAAGTTGAGATGCTTTAAAAGGGACATTTAAACTGAGAAAACATTCCTGTTCTACAGAAAATTGGGATTTTGATATTTCTGTTGTCTTTTTAGTTTTTTTTAATGCTTTATATTTGCTGATGCCTCGAACACGTTCAGTCCTGCCTTGAGTGATATTTGGAGTATTCAAGAACACTTGCAGTAAATTGCATCCATTAAATACATCCATGGTTTCAAAGTTCTTCACATTAAGATGTTGACTGCTCACCGTTTTTGTTTTATATTTTATGCACTTTTAAGTTTTTGAAGCAATAACATGCTTGAGTTTTTTTTTGTTCATGTTTCAATGCAATACCCTATTTTTGTATTGGGGGGGAAGACTAAACATTTCTAGTTTGCCCTAGTTGTTACCTCATTTTCTGTTCCCCCTCCCCCTTTGGAATAAATAGCCAGATTTGTTTCTATTAATTGATTGTTCAATTGGCATGACCGCTAAGTCTCCTCACCCCCACCCCTCCCCCCCCCAGCAGAGTGAAACTGAGAGGAAGGGGGTATGGTGATCAATTTTTCTGTTACAGTAACTTTAATGGTGCCTCTGACTTCTATTTAATAAACTGCCCCAAAAAATTAAAAGGACACTTGTCATCCTCTTTAAACCTTTGGTTTTTTTGAGCAGTTTATAGAAACACTACATTGGGATGTCTACAGCACGGCAAGTTTTTTTTTTTTGGTCTGGTTTTATTTCTCTTCCTTCTCCCATCCCTCCCTATCCAGCCTCTTTCAAAACCTGGTAGTTGACACTGCCATGTGGTGTTGAATGTGAATAGTGTTAAAGTTTAAAAAAACAAAACACAAAAAAAGAAATAAAATGAAAAATATTGTAAAAAAAAGCATTATATTTTTTCAAAAATATTTAAAAAATAAATTAGTGGAATGTATTTTTTGGGTCTGTGTTTAACTTTAAGCTTGTCCTGTTTTACGTTTATTTTTGTCATTTGTACTTGATATGGGGAGCCGTGCTCCCTCAGACCTGTAGTTGGCAATTAGACTCCTCTGTCTGTAAGATGCTACTACGTAGTTCTTGCACGCACTTCCGTTTAACTTCAGCTGTTCTTTATGAACAGGATCTTTATGTATCAGATCGGTGCCATAAATGTTAATTAAAACCACAGTATAACTGTATACAATAAAACAAATCAATTGCTTACCATGTGTACTGAGATTTGAGTCCATGACAACTGTGACATCTACTTTGTGATTATGGGTGTCGCAAATGATTTTCTTTGGGGGAAGAAATTACAATCCACTTCATACTTCAGAAGGAACTTGTATGTATTCAAGTATTCCTCTTTCTCTCCAGCTGCACATTTGAAATTAATGTCCCATGATCTCAGCTAACCTCACCTCTTCACTTACAACAGTGTGTCAACTGAGATCCAGATCAGAGTTAAACATTTTTAACAGACTTTTTTACTTTTGGGTGGGGAAAAGTCAGTTGAGTGTTTGGAAAAACACGAAAGAGATGCAAATAATTCCTAATTGTGCTCTACTCATTACTTTATCAATGGCCTGTGCTTTTTGCAATTGTTTTATCAGTTAATTGGGGAACACCTGCAGAACTAGTATTCCAGACTGGACTTGGTCACACTTATAGACGCTATTTTCAGCTAAATGCTGTCATTCTGACTTGCATGCGCTTATTCCAGTTAGCTATAGATTGTGTATGCTCTTGGACTTGACACCTCTGCATTTTGGACATTACATTATTATCTGCAAGTTTTATGACTATTTTGGAAACTGGAAAAGTAAGCTGGAATGCGAAACTAGAAACTAGTGGCAATTTTAAGGCCTTTCTAAGGTGCCATGTTATAATTATATCTTGAGCAAAAGATCTGGTTTACTGTATACAGTTACATAACAGGTCTGTTAGAGATGGTATGCTTGCAGCTGTTGTCTAATCTCAAGCCTTGACAGTCAAATAGCCAGACATTCTAAACCATGCTACTATAAGGGTTTGTCTTGCATGTCTAAAACATGCTCTTTTTATTGTAATTTGTTAATCCTCATGTTTAGGCTTTAGTATTATATTTGACATATCACCCTTCAATTATATCCTGAAAGCACCAATCACTGCAGAAATGTTTTCAATTAAAAAAATAATGTATCCTGTTCATACATAAGGCCATTATGTTAATGAAAACTCAGAGTAGGTTTTTTTCCCCATATCTGTGACCACTTATGCTAATGAGTGGACTCCTCCCCTATTACATGTTGGTGTTGGTTAATATTCAGACAGTGCCACAATGATTAATAGAAATTGTGAATAATTGATATGGTTATAGATGTTGTATCATTCCCAATATATGACTTATTCACTCGTGCCTTTTTACCACTAGATGGAGCTGTTGTCCAGCTTTAATTTCTTGCCAAGATACTTATGTTGACAAAACATTGAGAAACTACAAATGTTTGCACTTTAATAGTTTAAACTGGCCATTTCTCAGACATATTTTGAATCAAATAATTTTGGAAATGTGAATTATCCTTAACTGATTTATATATAAATCTGATCATCTGTATGCTGCATGACATCAAATCAAAAGCATTTTATGGTCTTACGTATTTTTCTGTATTATATATACGCATTTGGAAAAGGGCATTTTTAAACCAGCATGTTTTGTTGAATTTTGCCTAATATTGGCAATGCCTTTTTTTTCCCCAAAAGAAATACTGTATGCTTCCTTTGCCAACAGATGGCTCTCTAGCTAAAGGAATACTGTCAAAGCTGCACAATTTCCAGTATGTTCTGGTTGTATCTGGCATTTTCAAAGGATTACTGACTTGTAAATCCATATTTGTGGTTTAAGTGCATTGCAATCACCTTGCTATTGAAACAGATTTTTCTTTTTCATTTGCCATAATGTAATGGGTATGTCTGTATTTGCACACTGTAGTAGATGGAATATTTCAAGAACATTCATGTTACATATTTTTTACATCGATTCAGTTGTTGTTGTGTTATACAAAAGAATGTAGCTTGGTTCACAAGGTAAAATGTGTACTAAACCTCTGTGTTGAAGTAAGAGTAGTCCCTGACTGAGGCACCTTGCTACATGCTAATGAAAAAGTGTGAGTTCCTGCAGTTGGGAACCATGTCTGAAAGGAGTTCAACTGCTCGTACTTTGAAGCCTGGTTTAGTGGCTGTTCCTTTGACTTTGGTATAAAAGCTTTAAAGGGGTGGCAGTAGCATGAGATGGATCAGACTGCCTCCCCATTGTTGCCACTGCAGGTCAGATACCCCCAGACTGAGGTCTGCATGCTGATGAGCCAGGCAGATGTCCATGATCAGGTCGGTATTGAAGGAATTCTGCAGAAAGGCAGGCACGAAAGAGGTCTCCAGGGTCCTTGTTTCAGTGTCGCATTCTGACAGAGGAACATACACTCATATCATTAACCCGTATATGAAAAAAGCATGCAGATGTCACCACAGAGCTGCAAGTGCATGGCCCTTGAGACCTGGAGACACTCCCTGGACACAATCAAACTTCTGGCTCTTACATGACTGGGGTGCCCTTCTCAACTGGATCCAGTGTATTGCTTCATCTTTCCCAGCTACAGTCATTATCTATATGATCGTTCTGTGGTTTATTCAATATTCCTTAATCACTGCAAGTGTTTTATGATAGAACTTTCACATGTTAGGCTGGTGCTTTTTCACCTTTTCCGGACATTAACATGTCTTTAGTTTTTTTTTATGAAGACCTAAGATGTCTTTGCCACAGACATTATAAACATTATAATAAACTTTATTTTACATAGCACCTTTAAAAGTGGCTTCTCATAGAGCTTTACAGAAAAAAATAAACGATGAGAGGAGATGGTAGAATTACACAGTTACAATTAGCATTTAGAATACATATGGGAAAGCAAGGGGGCAAACACAAAACCAGTTAAATAAGAGCCCTTCTAAAGAAGGTTTTGAATCTGGATTTGAAAGCACTCAGGGAAGGTGAGTCTCTGATATCCTTGGGGATAGAATTGCAGGGCTTTGGGGTCAACATAAGAGTGTGGATGGTCATTGGGGACAGATAGGAGACCAGAATTAGATGTTACAAGGTTGCTAGATGGAGTAGGACGACTAACTCGGACAGGTACTGAGGTGCTGAGCGATGCAGAGCCTTACAGGGTGAGCATGAGAATTCTAAAGTTGACATGAAACCTGATAGGAAGCCAGTGCAAGGACTCCAGGACAGAAGTAATGTGATCACTTGCACAAGACCTCGTCAAGATTCTGACTGCTAAATTCTGGACATATAGTAAGTTTGTTTAATGTGGATTTAGATACCTCAGCAAGTAAGACAAACAATAATGATGGGACAAAAGACCTTCTTTGATGATGTGCAGTGAGTCGGATTATTCACTGCTATGAAAACTTTTTCTTCAGAATATTTTTGCGTCTGCCTTACTAACTTTTTGGTGACTTGATATTTGCCTTCTTTTGTTCACAAAGCCATAGAGTGTATGCCATAGAAAGCTCACCTCTGGCAGGCCAACCAGGTGCTTGAAGGGAAGAAAATCCTTCGAGTAGAATGTGGAACCTAGCTTAATGTCCACAACCGAAATCAAACCTAGCCAAGCTTCCCATCAGCTCTCCACTCCTTTAATTACTACAACCCTTGAAAAGCAAGTCTGTGTTTCTCTTCCCCAGTTCCCCAGGTTACCATTCTGTGGGATAATCTGTTCTCAAGAGTTGCTACGTGCTTCAATAAAGGATTCGACAGTTCGATAAGCAAGCGCAGTGTAAAGTGTTCCACACTGCAATCCCTCTAATCTACACCTGCTTCTGGTCCCAAGGCAGAATGAGTATACCCATAGTCTAATGCCAACACAGAGGTAGACATTTTACAGAGCTCTGGTGTAGCACTACTATTGTTGTGATATAATTGCAGTTGGATAGTCAGTACCCTTACATTAGTGGTGGTCCAGCTCTTTTGGAGGAGACCCCTAATACAAGAATGGTGCCATTGTTTCCCCCACTCTCTTTTGTCCTCTCACATTCTTTCAAGAGGTTTCTATTTTAGTAGAGGATTGTTTAAAACAAGTGTGAGATTCTTGTTTTAATGCAGAGAATGATAAACATTTCTGAACCTCTTTCTTTGCTGGATGTTGAGGTAGCAGGGGTATCAAGACCTTGTTTCTATACTGCATGCCATTTCGAATGGTTCTTTAATAGTAAGAAACATTTAGTGTGGTCAAAGCACATGAAATATTTCTAAACTAAAAAAAAAACGAATTGATATATGAAAATTGTGATTTTGGAATCAGCTGGTAGTTGCATGCTCTGTTAGTTGTTGTATAAGGAATTGGTTTCCATGTCCTTCTGAGAAAGTACAATTATTTTAGATTTCAAAAACTTTCAATATTGTTAACCTGATCACCACCTAACCACCAGCCTTCCAAATAGAAAACACTTGTATTTAGAGAGATAACAATCGTACAGTTTTGAAACATATCCAGTCATTAATTTCTGTCACAGGAAAACAAATATAGCACAAAACTACTTAGCAAACTAAGGTCTGTGTTAAGTTCATAATTATTTTGACTTCTCTCATTTCCCCATTGTTCATAAAATGTACAGTAATCAAAAATATAGATGACATATAGATACAAATTCATAGATGGCTTTCAAGTTTTAATTGAATCTTCTAGAGACATATAGTTTACACTATTTCAAATCTGTTAACTGGGTACAGTTGTCACGTTTTTCTCCCGAAAGTTATATATACAGTATTTCCTTGAAGAAATCAAAATTCTTGCTTCTGCTGTTCATTAAAAGTGATACTTTTCCCTTCATGGCTAATCTCTAAATCCCCCTTCTTTCACCAATTTCTCTTTTTAATGGGAGGAAATACGATCTTCCAGACTTATAAAATACAATCTTTTTGCATAGCTGTGAGATGCATCTTTTTTATTTCAGATCTCAAAATCCTTCATTTTGGAAACAAAACCAGAACAAAATGCATTTCTGATCCCCCAAAACCCAACCTCTCCCTCCCTAACTCAATCCACCATCACTATCATCCCCCTCCCACCACCACCTCAACACACTGCCTCCCCACACTCTTAACCCATAGCTTTCAGATGCTAAATAAGTGGACATATGGGGAGGAGGTCTTTCTCCTGCCCTCCTAAAGATTCAGATTGTATGACAAATCACGTCCCAGCCCCCCCTCCGCACACACACACACACACCTCTTCAGACAACAGCTTCATTAGAGTGAAAGGAGGAGTTTTTGCAGTCTCGTCGAGTCAAGCTCTGACCTCCTTCCCCTTCTCAATTTCCCTATTGTTTGCCCCGGATTCAAGTTATTGCACTCCAAACCATATGGCTCATTTGAGCTTCTATACATGATGCCATCTCTGAAACCTCAAGCATTCTGATAGGTGGCTAGGTGGAGTCTCTCTTGGAGCACCTAGACTGAAAAATATGTGGAGAGTCAAAGTCAAAATATTAGCACTAATACTACTATTGACAATAAACCAATGTGGCTGACAGTCTTTGGGTAGAGATTTCAGTTTTTGTTATGCACTTATTCTTTAGCATAAAGGAATAACTTTAGACACCCCAGTGTTATTCATTTGTCAGACAGTTTAGCTATGTACGGTAAACATTTCATTCTTCAGAAGCCTTGTAAGTTCAATATCCACATGACGCTTGTGCGTCAGAAAAAGACATAGATAGTCTGTACAAGTACTTCTTGAGGACTGTGGACGTTTTATGCACAGGTTGTCATGATGACTGGCATTACTAAGTGCGTACTGTAATAGTTTAGTCCTGTGGATAGTTGTTAAGGTTGGAGGCACACCCATGGAAATTTAAATCTGTGTACAAGAGAAAATGACCATTTAGCAGAACAATGGGTAACAGCTGAATATGACAATGATGGTCTAAAGGATTATTATGTTATACAATTAAATGTAAATCTGTAAATGTAAATTTCCACAAATTAGGAATACAATTTTGGTGTTTAAGAGCAGAGAACTTGATGGTATCTACTGACCTTTAAATGCGAGTTATGAGTTAGACAGTTACAAGTTACGAGTCTTGACTTGGTGATGTACACTGTCTCTTGCAGAAATCACATACACTTTTAAACATTTTTTGGAATTGGATATCTAAGCCGTATCTAAACTGGATGTTAAGAAGCTTTTAAATCAAGAAAAATACAATTCCTGCAAAAACTAATCACCAAATGGAAATTAAACTGAGCTAAATTGGCTATTTAATTCAAAATGCTTCATAATAATAATGAGAAATTAAAATAGATGCATTCAAATGTGTTAGCTTTAATTTACTTCTTGTGAACCTGTCCATGAATTATATTGTGTTCCTGTTCAAGTTTGTTTTTTTCTAAAAACAAAACTTGATCGACCTAAAATTTTAACCTATTTTATTCACCTTTTTTGTAAACGTTTTTTTTTTCTACTACTTGTTATTAGGTCCTGTACACCAGACTCGCAATCCTATAAAAATCCAAGAGTAAATATCACAAATTCAGCACGCTGGACAGCTCTTAATTAAAGGTTTTAAGAAGCACAGCTAAACTACCAGGTCCACCTGTCAATCCGAGTTATGGAAGAGAAGGGAAAGATGTCGAGCGACTCTTTAAACACGTGTTTTCTTTAACACGTCATAGTGAAAGATCATAACGGAATTCCGCGTTGTCTTTAGCGGCAGTGTAACTGCTCAGACATTCGTGAATAATGTTTATCTGCCAGCGTTTTGCGCTACTTTTATTGGCTCCAATTTTAATTGACGGCCATGTGTCAAGTAACAGAGTGTGACAAGCAGCTGTCTTGCTATGAGAATCTAAAGGGTGGATTGGCCCGTGAGGTTATCCGATCTCAACTGAAGAAGTCGAAAAGTTCTGAGAAGAGCTGTTGCATTCTGACATCAGCCTCCGGGAACGTTTCAACGTGTGATGTAGACACCTTTGAATCTTGGTCTGAAAAAGCACGTTAAAGATTTCAACGATTTCTTGTGGGCCAGATGTTTCCAATTCTCCTATGGTCATACTGTGCTTTGCTGTCACGTCGAACCTGTCACATAGTACACGGGCGTGGGTATAGTTCGCTCTAGAGCCTTTCCAGTATCAATAGCACTTTTTTTCACATCACACGTAGAAAAGTGTGAAAATCTTTATTTGGGAATCCTCGCTGTGTGCCTACACGCACGTAAATTGTGCACCCTCAATTGTAACAACAGCCTTCAAGAGCAGGCGATAATGATTTTTTAAAAATAAATTACAGAAAAGCAATAAATCAAGAGCAGAACTGCTACTGTATCCTCTACCAAGATAGAGAATTGAAGTGGATGTCTAATCGCAGAGGTGAAACTGTGAAGTAGAACCTAAGAGACACACGTAGTTAGTAACTACAAAAGAGTTGGTTTCCATCGCCGTTGTAAGCATGGACTTTGTTTTCTTTTTCTTTTTCTAATGCCTTTACAAAGATGAAGGGGAGCTTTTAGATTGTGGAGAGCTGTATCACGACACAATTGAGGCACTGGAGTAAGGAATTAATTACCATTCAGAAGTAATGGCCCTATTCTGCCCTGCTTGAGGTTTTTTAAAAAGCAAGAATAAATAACGAGAAAAAAAAAGTCTTGTGGCTGCAGGCCTTCTACAACACCAAGGGATTATTCCAGGGATTAACATCTGAAAACTCCTATCAGACTTTCTGACTCAAAGATCTTTTGCGCGCGGTAATCGCATTAATACCCGGGGATTAATGCTTTGCAGAATGCAAAATTGAATTTTAAATCAAATTAAATAAATAGATACGAAATAAATTGAGGAATCTACCGCCCAGGACTGGAGAAAGTATATCCCCCACACGCACTTTCTTTGCTCTGATTCAATGGGGGCATTACGATTCTCAGAATCCGTCTTCGCGGGCTGTTCCTGGGTATTTTGTTCTGTGCTTAACGCAGGCGAGGACAGAAATGAATCAAGCACCTGCCATGCAAATCTACACCCAGCCCTCTCCTGTGGATTAATCACCTATACTACTGCCTATGTATTATACGTATGTATTAGATGTGTATTCTGTCTTTAATAAGAACAAAAGAAAGATTACAAACGATCGAGAGCATGATACTAGTCCCTATCAAGGTTTATTTGTGTATGTAAAAATGAAGGAAAAACTGTTGTTATGAGACGTACAAAATAAATTAATGAGATAAACTACTATTTTAAAAAGCTATTGCATGCAGAATATCAAGGTGAAATGTCAGTAAAATCCAGACAATGTGCTTTCTTTTTAATTGAAACAATAGCAATAAGATATACATTCCATTTATTTTTAATGTAAAGCAAAACGAATAGCTTCTTTTTAAAAAGTTGTCTAACAAGGATTAGTCTCTTCTCGGAGCAAGTCGATTGTTTCTTTTTCTCACGTGCTTCTATATTGAAATGCAATCACATCTCGTGCACTTGTGTCTAATCCTATCACAGGATCTCCCAGGCAACTCAACTCAAGTGTGGAGGACGAGTGTGCATTTTCAACCCCTAGAAGAACACCCGACCGCTTATTCTGCGAGATGCAATTTCGGTGGCCCAGCCCCTAGCCTGTGTAATTGAACTCCAGCCATCTTGTAAAACTGTTACTTTTATCACTTTATAAGGCCAATAAGCATGCTCTGCGAGAAAGCCTCCTAATGCCCAGAGTAATACCAAAATAAGCAATCAAGCTGGTCCTGGTCTTTGATGTTAATGTTAACATGTTGGTGCCGTAATAATAAAATTGATCTCCCTGTTATCCGCTCCTTAGAATATGTAAATATTTTTTGCGGAAGGTCTTAAATGTGCGCATTCTGACTTCAAAACGAAACCTTTTGTGAAGAGAAAAGGTGCTGGACTTTCCCTTTTCAAATATTTGCCAAAGACTCACAGAAGGATTTAGGTATCCTTCATTTACAGATGCAGCAAGAGGGCTATCTGCCCAATCACACATAGTAAATTGCAATATTGTGTAACGTCCTTAGTGTGGCTTATGCTCTGCTCCGTCCGATCAAATGTAAAATAATCTTTAACCAGTCCCTCAGAAATCACCTGCTGCTCGAAGCCCAGCCCTTGTTCTCCTTTCAAGTCGAATCATGAAATATTTTTTTTTTGAAAAGACGCTTGAAAATATAGAACCGTCGAACACCGAAAGTATAAAAATGCGACAGAAGCGCTGTGTGTTGTTCACGCTGGGAGTATTTGAATAAGAATAATGTCATTGGACTGTAACAAGCAGAAAGAATGAGTGACAAAGGCGCGCGGAGGAGCAGTTTGGACGGAGGACAAGCCGAATAGAACTGAAAGGAACTGAGAGGAGACGTTTACAATGGAACAATTCACCTTCTAATCGCTTTGATATATTATACATGCCTGAAGACTCTAAACATTGTGTAATTATTTATAAATGACTGTCCCCCACTCTCACTATTATACCATAGGGAGAAAAGCGCTGCAGGTCTCTCTCCAAACTATTTCTAAATAGTGCTCCCACCCTTTTTTGTCAAAAGAATAAGGAGATGTTGAAAATGGAATAATTAATGGAGAATTGTATGGCTGTCTCATAAAAATGTCTTTAAATTAACTAAATGAAATTACCTAGTGCAGGGCTTAATGTTTTTAATGCTCGTCGTCGTCATGTGCTGAATTTTAACTACTTTTGGACTTTTGGAGCATGACTTGGGAATAGTGAATAAATAGTGAATTAAACCATGGTGCTTAAGCATAAGAGGAACTAAGAAGACTTTAACAACCACTAGTCCGTTGCGTTTTATCCACCTTACAATCTAAATTCAATAAAACAGCAAAGCTAACGTTTCTTATGCTTGAAACATACTTCTGAATATTTTGCATTAGTGTGTGGCATCTCTGAATATTGTCGTTGCTTGTATAATATTTGTGTATCATTATTGGTAGTAATAAGATAACATACTTGTTCGAAACGTTAGGATTGCTTATTGATATAGTTGTACATTTAAAGGGAAAAAAATTGAATCTAAGGAAATAGTCACCTTAAAATACCTTTGATTGTGATGTGATTAGATTAGCGACGCCCTTAATGCTGGCGTCACTTGTTATATTTAAACTATATTTAAGTTATATTTAAACACGCAAGAAGATGTAAGAAAATATAGACTGATTTCATTGTGACTGCGTAGTGATGTTAAAGTTTTATCATATTATCAAAGAAAGACATTTTATTGGAAAGAAATTTGCCGGAATTTGTAAGACAAATGCTTCACAACTGGGGCAAAAAAAAAAACAACAACAAAAAAAGTCGTTTAAAAATGATCAGAAAAAACTTGCAGTTTTGGTGTTGCTCTGGCCCATTTCTATTTTTTTTTTTATCAATGCACGCTGATGTCTGGATGGTTTACAGAGATAACGAGGTAACGGAAGCAAAAAAGCTTGCATTAAATGTTTTCCAGGATGCAAACCTCGAAGCACACACAGTTCACCTTTTTAAACTTTTTGAATGACTTTCTCTATGCCCGTTACTAACACTTGCCAACTGTAAGGTGCTGAAAGAGTAGACCCCCCCCTCCCCGAACCCTCTGGAGTGTGCCTTTGCCTCCGGGGCTAATCACTTCTGTTCTTCCGACGTCTTATCTTTTCATTTTCCTCTTGAGGTTTAACTTTAAGTGGGCTTGGTCTTCGGTGCGCTGATAGCAACAGTGCAGCTCGCGTGGCTGGACAGCGGCTCCGGGCTCCCATTGGCTGGCAGTGATTACAGGCACGCTTCGCAGGGTGAACAAACAACGGGCATAAATTATGCTAATAAGATGGTCGTGCGGCACGGGGCAGACCTGATGCAACTCATTCATTCATCCTTCACAAAAAATGCCAAAGAGGTATGGCTATTGTTTCATCAGGGTATATAAGGGATCTGACGCCAGTCGTGTGCCAAGCTCGCTTGCTCACACGAGTTGACTGCAGCAGGATCAAGACAAGACGCGTGCCTTCTCCCTCAGAAACTTCTATTTTTTTTTCTTTGATTTTGCCTCCTTCCAAGAAACCTGCATTCCCGTCACCCAAAACTTTGAAGAGGTACGTCCGTGTTTCTCTTGAATTTCTTTCCATCCAACTACATAACACATCCTTTTTCCCTAGTCCCTTTTTTGCCTCGATATTAATCCTGTACCGTTTTTTTATTTTATTTTTTTTTCCAGACCAAACATGTGCACCTCCGTGGAAAACCTGTACTCCGACTTGGACAGCTCCAGTTGCGACCTGTCCTACGTACACACGGATGACGAGGACTCGCGCAGCAGTTCTCACGGTGCCTCGCCGTCCTCCTCCCTCGACCAGCCGTCCTCACCTGCTATCTGTCAGGACTCGGCCACCCCGGAGCAGAAGAAGAAACGCCGAGGCCGGGGGAAGAGCGAGGTCGCCGTGCACGTTGTGAAGAAGAACAGGCGGATGAAGGCCAACGACCGGGAGAGGAACAGGATGCACAATCTCAACGACGCCCTGGACAAGCTGAGGAACGTTCTGCCTGCCTTCCCGGACGACACGAAGCTCACCAAGATCGAGACCCTGCGCTTCGCCCACAACTACATCTGGGCCCTTTCCGAGACCATCAGAATAGCCGACCAGTGTCAAGAGAAGTCCCGGGACCCCTCGCTAATGCTTCCTGGAATGGGACGGGTAGCAGATGCGCCGAGTCCGGGCAGCGACGCTTTCTCCTGGCTGTCAAGCGCATCCACCTCGTCCTCGCCGTCATATTGCACTTCAAACCCCAGCAGTCCGGCGGTTTCGGAGGACTACGGATTTCTGCAGGCGGACAGCCTGTACAGCTATCATAACTTCGCTACAAACATTTACTGAGCGGCCGGCGAAGCCCGGTGTGGCTGATGCTCACGTGACCTCATAAAAATGTCAACAATGACGAGAGTTATCATTGAAAATGAGTAAGAGATGTGGCTGTAACACTAAATTTGACCCTCCACGCATTTAATTACTTCATAATGTAGAGGGAATTGAGAAAGAGGTACCATAGCTTGCCCAGACGTTTTCACTCTTTGCCTTAAACGTTACTCCTCGACAAACTGTTTTGTATGTAGAGACCCTCATATTTGTATTCTGCAGATTTCACTTACTTTTTGCTACTGCAATTGGCCCGTGTGTTTATCCACCTACAAAAAAAATGCTATAGAACCAACAGGTCTGTGGGAGTTCTCGGACTGAAGCGTTGTCTCTTCTTTTCTAATTTTCACGCTTTATTTTTGCACTTTTTGGAACTCCAGTAACCACAGATAACAAAAACAACCCAACAACTGTCCACTCTGCAAATCTTGACCCCCCACCTCTATTAAAAGAAAATTAGAATTAAAAAGAAGAAAAGACAGATTTGCTTTTGCGGACCGAGGTGAAAAGTCAATTTTACAATTTGTAGAATGATAATGAAGAAAAACGAGCGTGGAAATTCGGTTTCAACGCCCTGACAATAGACTGAAAAGCCCTCAAAAGACAAGGATCCGGCTTCATGCATTATGTATTTTGACCTCAGAACACTGTGCTGTCTTCCCTTACTGAAAGACTCAATCCCACAGATGAGGACTTTTCCAACAGGCTTCATAGTTCTTTTATTTTAATTTATTCAACGTGTTGCTTTCATATGAAAATGTATTTTTATTGTATATAAAGAGATCTATTATGTATTTACCTCAAAGTTTTTAATTCTGGCGTCAACATGTTTTTGTACAAATAAAATTATAACGTTTTTTAAAAACAATTTTGTTGCTTTGTCTTTTCTCGCGGTTTGGTACCAAGTAATCACAATAACTGAAATCCGGACGCCGCCGATTTGGTCAAAGTTTCATGTTCAGCGTAAGCAAAAAAAGAATACGGAGAAACACATACAGGCTTCATCTGTCATTTTCTTTTCATAATATTCATCTAAAAATGATCTTTAGGTTCAAACCCAAGCAGCCAGAAACACAAATATGTTATTCACCTGCAAATAATAGTATGAAAGTAAATCGATAATGTAGTGATGTTGGCCTATTAATGGAAGTGCCACTACTCAATTGGCGTCTGTTTGCGAGTCTGTTTGAAACAAAGGAGGTTTGATGCGTCACTAAAATGACGGTTACGGAAAGCCAGGGCAGCGGCAGGTGGATAGCTCATGCACAGTTCACAAGGATGCGTTTTTGACGCGTCGCTTCAGCAAATTACGCGGCACCGCGGTGAAGTCATTGTCTTTGAACGTCACTCGCTACATTTCACCGTGCTTGCTTTCCATCAATAAAGTTAAATATCTTCAGGAAAGAAGGATTAATGAGGAGTTGCTATTTGTGACTCTTGAACGAAAGGACACACAATTGCTCTGTATATGATATCGTAAACATATCATGCACATTTGAGGGCTGTTCAGATTATTTTGACAGAAGTATTAGTTTGCATCTTATAAATCGGTGACAAATAGCTTAGTGTAAAGTTAAACATCACGGGGAATCAGACTGCGCTGTTTGCTGCTCTTGAAATATTTGAACAAATCGATTGAATTAACATTGTAAATACAAAAAAAAAGAAAAAAGGCGGAGGTCTTAAAAATATCTGCAATGTTTGTAAAGGCTAACTTTCGCCGAGGATCGTTCAAGACTTTAAATGGGAGTGTCAGAAGTAGCTCGTCTACAATGCTACCTCCTACCACACCATAAACGGATTTATTGTTTGATATTTTTAATTGTAACCCCGCCTGTAGTTTCATTAATTAAAAAGCGTGTATTTCACCTGGGGGTTGTTGCCTCGGTGGATTTATTTCATTACAGCGAGGGAAGTCAGTAATCCCGATTCCGCTCTTTCACTGTGATATGGCTTTGAAGAGGTTTTGATGCGGACTCCTTTGTGATCCTGGGATCATTTTATTTCTTAAAGGGCTCAGGTTAAATCCTCTATTTGTGAGTCCGGCATGCGGTCCAGCCACGGCTGTTGTATATGCACGTGTCACGGATAGAGAGGGATCAGGGGAGAGAAACACATGCTAACTCACATTAAAGAGAAAAGAAGGAGAAAAAAAACCCGAATCCAGCCTGTCTAATCACAGACAGGGATACAGCCAAGTGTTAATCCAAAGATTAATCTCTTTCAGAATGGAAAGTTTCCATAAAATGACGTTTGCAGGCGATCCAGCACTTGATTGATGTGATGGTAAAAAGAAACCTACAAATGAAACATCGCCACGATAACCGCATATTATTATTATTATTATTATTATTATTATTATTATTATTATTATTATTATTATTATTATTAAGTCATATTTTCTGTTTGTTCCGCATGTTATGCAACAGTCTGTACGTAGTTAAACGAAAAACAAAGTTTTCAAATGGAATATGCCAGATAACTGAAATGATTCCTGCATGAGTTAATAGTTCTAAAATTCAGAGAGATCCGTGTTAGCCCAATATATAAACTTTCATTACCAGTGAAAGGGAGATTGCGATGACCTTGGCCCTCCATTTCTTCACTTTACTGTTTTCCTTTTCTTACACGGGAACAATTTAAGTTAGGGTCAGACCTGTTAACGAACCCTATCCCCGAAGAATTGGCTGCACAATTACTGCTTAACAATTAGCTTAGCTGAGAAACAAACTTCCCATTGCAAAAATTCTCCTGGAACCCTTTTTGTAGCTAAATATCCACCCTGTTGTGATGTTACAGAGATGGGCTATGCTATATTTGATTTTGTTTTGAACTGAAATGATTTCCCTGGGACACGGCTTCTGAATCGTATTTTAATCAATAATTACATCGGCGTTTTTCCTAGGAAACAATCATATTGAAGAAGGTCTCCCCATGAACACTACAGTAGCTGCACGCATACAGCACCTGTTAGGGATTTTTGTCCGAAATCACAAAGCTTTGGAGTGTCGTTAAACGTATAGGACGCATAAAAGCGCGCTTATGTCTTATGAATCTGTCCCTTTGTCCTAATGCATAGAACCATAAAAAATTACGAACCAAACACTGAGTTGGTCGGGTTCAGACGTTGGAGATACGAACGAAGCTCGCACCTGCAAAGCAATTAACACACTTTTATTTCATTGGATGCTGTGTTATTTTATATAAACTTAGTGCACAAAGCTGTTAGCGTCGTTTTAATAACAGTTATTAACTATGAGAAAATATAGGAAATGATTTTAGAGCGAAGCGCTATTAATGTGCTGGCATTCAATGTTTTGAGGAGGTAAGTAAATTATTATATAAAATGACACAATTTATACACAGCTGTGAAAGAATAAGTTTGTAAATTGATCTCAGTTTTGCTAGCCTGCTGTGTGTAGAAAGCCTGTACACTATGCGAAAACTCCAGGCTTGTTTAGGAACGCCAAAAGAAGACCTATAAATACGAAAAATGGCTGTAAACCTTTTTAAAGTTAAACTAAATGCAATACTTTTCAAATAAAAATGATTACAAGCGAATCCTCGCGTTTGTGTTTTCAAACGTTAAATGTGATGTGGAAATGCTCTTCTTGCCTCGGAAATCCCCTGTCCTGTTGCCGAAGGATGTCTGCACACTGGAAATGGAATTCTACATTGTTAGGAAAGTGACACAGACTGCTGTTGGAGAGCCTAGTTTGAGAGAAGAGCAAATTGTTGCGAGGCTCGGCAATTAGTTGTTGTACTATCGTGTGTCCTTAATTTGGCATGAATGGGGACAAAACTTGTCAGAGGATGATTTATGGGGCTTTTCTTATTTCAGGATTTGGGCTGCATCTGTTAGAAAGTCTCTGGTTTCAACAGAGAACGCGAGCAGGGCTATTCCATTAATTATACCCATCTAGGAAACCTGTGCCTCCGAAACCCTCGAAGTTAAAATGACCGCTAGGCAAAAAAAGGACACGAAAAATACTCGTCTGATTCGACTTCTGAAGAGGTGGACTGACACGTGAAAATATAACAATTGGCTTACGTGAAAAAAAATGTTTTGGGCTATACATTAAGCTACTATTATTGTAATTTTATGAATAATAGCAGTTGTACGGCAGTGCAGTGTAATCGTTTTATTATAAATACATTGTCTGATGGTGGGTGGTCGAAAGTTTAAACAATTGAATACATCTCTGGGCTCAGCCATCTGAAAAATACTTTTTTCGAACATTTTATAAACGCGGGAAACAAGATGTTTATTAAAGTAAATCGGGGGTGGGGAATACCCTCTTTTGTCTCTATACATTTACATATTGTTTTGTTTTATTAATCCTTTAAATGTATTTTTGTAACATCAAACCAAACTAAGACATTATGAGTGTATATGCACTTTTAAAATAGCCAGAAGTGAAACACTATGCCTTAGCTGGACACAAATCCATTTCTATGGATTTCTGATAAAGTTGCCTGCACCTGCCCTGAAGAATGAGGTGGTTTTGTGTGCATTTGCCCCCTGGGGCTGAAACCCAGTCTTGGCAGTGGACACCGAAGGTCATCGTGATCCGTTGGGGAGAAAGACCCCTGACCCCCTCAGGAGGGACAGCCTCTGAGTCAAACAGTAACAAAAACATCAAAACAGTCTCCCCTCACTCCCACTCTGTGCTCTGCCTTTCTCAGACCAAATCTTGCAGGGCTATCCGGAGGTGGAATAAGCCCCATTGACGATGGCCCAAGGTTAGAGGTTGTGTCTGCAAATGTCTCAAACCCTTGACCTTTACATTGGAGATAAGCAGTGACACACTGCAGACGACTCATGTCCAATTCATAAATGCACCATGGGACATTGCAAAGACATTTGATTGAGTTGAAAGTAATATACAGGAAAATACGCCAGGACTTATTGCATTATTTAAAAATGTTTACTTTTTGTGGTTATGATCAACATTATCAGTACAGTGATGAGTTTGCCTACCTGTCCATGAAACTGTTTGTTATGATGTCTATCTTCCCATTCTCCTACTCACTGACCAACCTACTCGTCTCTGTGTACAGCATCTATGGCTTTTATTAACTGCTTTGAAGAACTTTAAATACTTACTTGTGGTTAAAGAAAAATATTCATAAATGGGGGGGGGAAACTACCTCACAATTTCCAGATTTGATTGATAATGCACTATCTTCTAAATTAACAGCAGAGTACTGCTTTCTTCAATCCATGTGTTTTAGTGCAGCACCATGTCAATTTTTCCAAATGTGTGAGGCCTGCTTGTGTTATCTGTTAAGGGTTGTAAATGTGAATGTTTCGACTCATTTTCTTACAGTCAAGCACATTTTAGGTTTCTGTAGTTGTCACATTGCTGTACAGGTGCTCTTTCTGAACATACTGATTTCTAAAGATCTCAAATCAAGTACTAAAATAATTTTCTAGCTTAGGCCCTTGGATGCAGAAACTCCTGTTTTGTCATGTTATTTAAATAGAGTGATACAGTAGAACAGACCTACAGACCTTCTAACTTTATGCTTCTTCAGAGTTCTAGTAGCAGTTATTAAAACACTAAAAAGAACACATGAGCCCAAGAATTGCAACTCATATTGAACGGATGATCCCAAATTGATCTTAACTGCTAAGAGCCTGTTTTAAAAGGGCTGGATTTGCCCCCTCTGTGTTTGAAAGCTGCCGGTTTCTAGAGACCATTAAGCATTGATTGAAGCAGGATGAAGGGGCAGCAGGTTTAAGTCCCCCTCCCCTCATCTCACTTTAGCCTTCAGGGTATGTGACTGGACTGCACACAAGGAGAGGACAGCATCAGCTGCACAAGA